CTCTGGTGGCTGATTGAGAGACGGTGTTAGATCCATGGCAGGCCGAGATCCTCTAGAAGCTGCTTCTAGAGATCGTTGTGAGTTTTTCTTCACTTTCACTGGTGGCATTTGAGAGCCTGCAGCAGACAGACAAGCAAAGGAAACACAGCCGTGGTGATTATTAAGGCATAAAACACATTATTTTTAAGGAAATACATTTATTACACCAAAGCAAATGTATAGTTTAACTTAAATAGATCCTCAAAATGGGTTAACACATCACGAGATTGAGGGTTTTTTTGTACATGCAGCCAGAAACAGCAAAGTACTGCAACCAATTTTTTTTTCTTTCTTTCTTTCTTTCTTTCTTTCTTTCTTTCTTTCTTTCTTTCTTTCTTTCTTCTTTCTTTCTTTCTTTCTTTCTTTCTTTCTTTCTTTCTTTCTTTCTTATCTTTCTTTCCTTTTATCTCTTCCTTCGTTCCTTCCTCCAACTTTCTCTTTCTTTCTTTCTTTCCTCTTCTTTCTTTCTTTCTTTCTTTCTTTCTTTCTTTCTTTTCTTTCTTTCTTTCTTTCTTTCTTTCTTTCTTTCTTTCTTTCCTTTCTTTCTTTCTTCTTCTTCCTTCTTCCTTCCTCCTTCCTTTCTTTCTTTCCCCTTTATCTCTTCCTTCGTTCCTTCCTCCAACCAATTTTCCCTTTCCCTTTCATTTCTTTCTTTCTTTCTTTCTTTCTTTCTTTCTTTCTTCTTTCTTTCTATCTTTCTTTCTTTCTCTTTCTTTCTTTCTTTCTTTCTTTCTTTCTTTCTTTCTTTCTTTCTTTCTTTCTTTCTTCCTTCCTTCCTTCCTTCCTTCCTTTCTTTCTTTCCCCTTTATCTCTTCCTTCGTTCCTTCCTCCAACCAATTTTCCCTTTCTTTCTTTCTTTCTTTCTTTCTTTCTTTCTTTCTTTCTTTCTTTCTTCTTTCTCTCTCTCTTTCTTTCTTTCCCCCTTCCTTCCCTCCTTCCTTCCTTCCTTCCTTCCTTCCTTCCTTCCTTCCTTCCTTCCTTCCTTTTCTCTCTCTTTCTCTCTCTCCCTCCCTCCTTGAATTTTCTCCCCTGAGAAAAGACACCCCACTACAGCCAAATGCATTCAAAGGAACTGACCTTGGCATGTTGTGAAAATGCAGCCTGGATGTTTGCAACTAACCAAGTTATCTGTTGCGTGAATGCTATCTTGGAATATTTCCCGGGAGAGATTGCAATCCCAGCCAGTAGGTGGCAGCAGAGATTGTGGAATCTTCAGCAGCTGGGCAGCTGTTTCACCCCAACGACAAGGGAAAGCGGAAAATTGGACTATTTTAGGAATAAAATAAGACATGTGGAACGACCATCATGGCTGGCTGAGGATTTCTGGGAATGGAAGTCCACATATGTTAAAAGTTGCTAAGGTTGGGAAACCCTGCGTTAGAGCGACGGAAAGAATTTCCAGCAATTATTCCATCCAACATCTTAATAGATACATCAAGACAATGAAGAGAAGGACTAGGGGTGATATGATAGCAGTCTTCCAAATATTGAGTGGCTGTTGAGAGCCTACAATTGAGGGCTCAATTGTGGTCATAAATTGAGGATTATCTGTAGCGGAAGCCATGGCTGTAGGTGTTTGCCAGGACATGATTACGCCATGCGTTTATGTAAGGGCACCGTTAATCCTTTTTTTAAAATGTAGTGGCGAGAACAGAACAAAATGTCAATATTGATTAAGCAACGTGAACCACACAAAGCTAAGACCCAGGGGAAAACCCGGGATTGATTTGGGGGAAAAAAAGAGTTCCAGAACAAGATAAGGAAGGGAAAAAAAAGGACCCTCAAAATGCCAACAGGAATCTCTTCTGTCATAGGTGCTTGAAGTGTTACCCCTTTTGAGGGGCTGGTTTGGATTGGCACTCAACACTAAGACCAGGGCTCTGCAACCTTAAACACTCAGGAGCCTGGATAGCTCAGCAGACTAATGCATTGCAATTTAACTCCAGCTTTCTGCAATTAGTAAGTTCGAATCTCGCCAAGGCTCAAGGTCGACTCAGTCTTCCATCCTTTCTAAGGTGGGTAAAATGAGGACCCGGTTTGTGGGGGCAATAAGCTGACTTTGTATAAAATATACAAAAGTATGAGGGCTATTGCTTAACGCATTCTAAGCCGCCCTGAGTCTCCGGAGAAGGGCGGCATATAAATCAAATTAAAAAAAAAAAGAGCCATTGGGACCAGTTTCCCACAGAAAAGAAAACACCGGGAGCCACAAAACCCTTCCCGTGCCTGACTGTTTCTTGATTGGCCACAAAACTAGCATAAGTAGTTGAATTAAACGTTCTGTTTTCTTCTGAAACTTTTCTTTTCTTGGATTTATCTATGGTTGGCCTACCGGAGGTTGAAAAGCTCAATAAATCGCGTGCCAGCTGGTGTCACACATTGGCGGTTGTGTTGCCTATTTTGAGTGACAGGGAGCCGCAGCAGAGGGGTGAAAGAGCCACATGCGGCTCCAGAGCCGCAGGTTGCTGACCCCTGACCAAGACACTCGCGAGAGTCATTTTTCTCACCAGGTACATGTATACATCCAAACTAGACTGTGTTAAAAGTCTGTAGTCATCCAAGCCATGGTTGTCCCAAAGGTGCTTTTTTTCCAGGAGGCAACTGGACTTTCTTGTTTTTTCTTTGAAGACGTTTCAGAACTTGCTGAATTTCACCCCTGACAATAACTGACCATAGCATGTTGGGAAAATAAATGCGGCCCAAAGGTTTGTAACTAACCAGGTTATCTTTTGTGGAAATGTAGTCCTACGTAATGATGTGGGGAGATTTCTCTGGGAGAAATGGCAACTTCAGCCACTAGGGGGCAGCAGAGATTGTAGAATCTCCAGGAGTTGGTCAGATGTTTCTCCTCACCATGGAAAGGAGGAGAATTGGGCTGTTCTAGGAATCAAGGACAAGCAGTCCTGGACTTACGACCACAACTGAGCCCAACATTTCTGTTGCTAAGTGAGTCGGTTGTTAAGGGAGTTTTGCACCATTTTACGACCTTTCTTGCCACAGTCGTTAAGCAAATCACTGCAGTGTAGTAGGGTTGTGGAAGCAATCTACTGGGATGGTTGGCCAACCTGGACCAAAGCAGACTGAGGTTGCGGTACAAAAAGACACAACCGTTGTCTTCTCACATTTGGTGAATGTGAAGCCATCCTGTAGTTTGGGCCTGGCACGGTACATGAACACCTTGATTAAACTGCAGTTTTGAGAATTTGAAGAACCATCCATGAAAACCATCAAGAATTATATCCGGAAGGCAGAAATCATGAAACCAAGTTGCCAAATTCTGTAAAAAAAGGTAAAGTTTCCCTGTCAATCATGTCTGATTCTTAGCCGAAGGATCCAGCGTTATCCGAAGACAATTTCTGTGGTCATGTGGCCAGCATGGCTCTATGCCGAAGGCTCATGGAGCATTGTTCCCACTGAAGTGGTACCTATTGATCTACTCGCATTCGCATGCTTTTGAACTGTGAGGTGGGCAGGACCTGGAGCAATGAACGGGAGCTCACCCCGTCGTGCGGAGTGCGGGTCTCGAACCTGGAAGATTCCAGACCCTGTAGATTCCCACAAAAAAAAAAAAAAAAAAAAAAGGAATGCAATTGCCAACATAGTAACAGATTTGGGGATCTTCATGCAGCTTCAATGCAGGGACCGCTACCGCCGCATAATAATAATCTCTTCTTTTGGTCACAAAATAAGTTTTGCCTGCTATTTCTTATAAAGTCTGCTGCTGCTGCTGTTGTTTTATTTTTTTTAAAAAAAATGATGATGAAGATGATGATGGCAGCGAGGGAGGCCTTTGTACAGTTTGCAGCTGGGAAGAAGCCGTATTATGGTGGGAGACATGGCTGTATCTGGGCCAAAAAATGATTGCGCCATTCCTTTATATAAGGGCATTGTTATATTTTTTATGTAACAGCAAGAACAAAAGGGAAAAGGTCACCATTGATTAAGCAACTCGAACCACACAAAGCAAAGAATCGGGGGAAATCCCTGAATTGGTTTGGAAGGAAAAAAATGTTCCAGAACTAAGTAAAAAAAAAAAAGAGTTAACCCTATATTGTTTAAATCTAATATTTGAGGGGCTGTCACAAAGAAGAGGGGGGGAGTTGTCAAGCTATTTTCCAAGGCACCTGAAGGCCAGGCAAGGAATAATGGATGGAAACTGAACAAGTGGTCTATGCACCCTGTTATTAAGACCAGCTGTCTGCAATTTCTGCTGGTTCGAATCTCTCCAAGGCTCAAGGTTGACTCAGCCTTCCATCCTTTCTAAGGTAGGTGAAATGAGGACCCAGTTTGTGGGGGCAATAAACTGACTTTGTATAAATATACAAAAGGATGAAGGCTATTGCTTAGCGCATTGTAAGCCACCCTGAGTCTCCGGAGAAGGGTGGCATATAAATCAAATTAAAAAAAAAAGGAGAGATTCAACCTAGAAATAAGGAGAAATTTTCTGACAGGGAGAACAATCAACCCATGGAACAGAAGTTGCCTTCAGAAGTTGTGGTAGCTTCATCACTGGAAGCTTTTAAAAAGAAACCGGACTGCCATCTGTCAGAAATGGGTGTAGGTAGGGTCTCCAAGGTCCCAACTCTGTTATTCTATATTCAATGGAACAGAAGTTGCCTTCAGAAGTTGTGGGAGCGTCATCACTGGAAGCTTTCGAGAAGAGACTGGACTGCCATCGGTCAGAAATGGTGTAGGATCTCCTGCTTGGACAGGGGTGGGTGGTGGGTGGGGGTGGGTTGGACCCTACAAGGTCCCTTCCAACTGTGTTAATCTGTATCTATAAAGTCTTGCAAAGCTGCCAGCAAAAAAGTTGGAAAACGGGTTTTCTTTCCAGGAACGCACGGTTCTTTATCTTTTTTGCCCAACCTTTAATTCCGGCGTTCTCATATCCCCTCCATTTGGCAGGATTTCCCTGGAAACTCCCCCTGCCCTTTTGAAAAGAGTGTCTAAAGCTATATAAGGTTTAAAAAAAACCCACCATTTTGGATCCCAAACGAAGCTCGTCTTGTCTTGGGAACGTCTCTCTCCAGCACTTCTGATCTGTCCCATCATGCGCTGGATCGGTTTAATCCTGGCAGGTGAGAAGGGAAAGGTGGAAGTAAGGAAACCACAAGAGCCATTGACCGTACAGAAGATTAAAATGGGCTGCGGTCTCCAATTACAGCTTGGGGGGGGGGGGGGGGGTGGGTGTTTCGGGGCTCTAGACTTGGCACACTGTCGCAGCTTATGGGCACCAGGTTGGGGGAGCCTCCTGGGAAGGCTGTAGAGCAGAGGAATTGAGGGAGGCCGCGCCCCATGCTCCGTGGCACCACAAACGTATCTCTGATGCTCTTGCATTGGCTCAGGTGTGCTCAGAGGCCGACAGAGGATACTGGGTGGGATGCAGGGGGAGGGAGCAGCGGTGAACTTTGGACCGTCGTCCTAAAAGCTGCTCTTGTCCTTTGGTGCATCGTGGGAAATTCCCTGTTGAAAGTTTGCTGGTCAAGAGACCGAGGGAGTGACAGGAGCAACCCTTGGAAAAAAGTTGATAGCTCCACAGGGCATGTCACATCTCCTTCAGCTTCTCCCCCTCCTTCTCCTTCTCCTTCTCCTTCCCCTCTTCCTCCTTTCCTTGTCTATATCCTCCTTCTCCTTCCCCTTCTCATCCTCCTCCTTTCCTCCTCCTTATCTATATCCTCTCCTCCTCCTCTTCTCCTTCCTCTTCTCTTTCTCCTCTTCTTCCCTTCCTTGTCTATATCCTCCTTCTCCTTCTCCTTCCCCTTCTCATCCTCCTCCTTTCCTCCTCCTTATCTATATCCTCTCCTCCTCCTCTTCTCCTTCTCTCCTTTCTCTTTCTCCTCTTCTTCCCTTCCTTGTCTATATCCTCCTTCTCCTTTTCCTTCCCCTTCTCATCCTCCTCCTTTCCTCCTCCTTATCTATATCCTCTCCTCCTCCTCTTCTCCTTCCTCTTCTCTTTCTCCTCTTCCTCCTTTCCTTGTCTATATCCTCCTTCTCTTTCCCCTTCCCCTTCTCATCTTCCTCCTTTCCTCCCCCTTGTCTATATCCTCCTTACCCTTCTCTTCTTCTTCCTCTTCCCCTTTTCCTTGTCTCCTCCTTGTCTATATCCTCCTTCTCCTTCTCTTCCCCTTCTCCTCTTCCTCCTCTCCTCCTTGTCTATATCCTCCTTCTGCTTCTCCTCCTCTTCCTGCTTGTTTTATCTTCCTCCTTCTCTTCTCCTTCCCCTTCTCCTTCTCATATTCCTCCTTTCCTCCTCCTTGTCTGTATCCTCCTTCTCCTTCCCCTTCCTCTTCCCCTCTTCCTCCTCTATACCCTCCTCCTCCTTTTCCTCCTCCTCCTGCTTGTTATATCCTCTTTCCCCTTCTCTTCTTCTTCTTCCTCCTCCTCCTCTCCTTCCTCCTCTTCCTCCTGCTTGTCTATATCCTCCTCCTCCTCCTCCTTCTGGTGAACACAGAAACCGGCACCTCTTGTTAATTTGAGCGATCCTAATAAAATTATCACCCAATTAGGAATTTGGATGGATAGCCTGTTTTTTTTCCACCTCTCCAAGAACCAAAATGGTTATGTTGGAGTTAGATTGTGTATGAAGCGTTCATTTCTTGGTTGAATTTGTAAGCTGCCCGTCTCATAATTCAGGGCAATTGTGAGGGTCTTACAATGTAAAAGTGATCAAAGCAACAAGTTCACCTCCTCATGTTTCTTTCCGGCTTTCCAGTTTTGGCTTTCGCTGCCAACTTCTCACCCTCAGAAACCATCCACATAGCTCAATTCCCACCCTACCCCCGTTTGGGGAAACCGGTCCTCCTATTTTTAGATGACAACCGAGCTCCTACCACCTGCAACTGGTTCCGAGGGAGAGACCCAAGCGAGGAAAGTCACATCTTCAGAGCGGATTTTGATTCCACCGAGGGAGTCCATAGGATCAACCAAACGGGGGCAGCCTACACGGGACGGGAAGATCTGGCGAGAGGATGCTCCTTAATCATCCGAAAAGTGCGGCCCTCGGATGCTGGCCCTTACACCGTCTCCATGATGGGACTGGGCGGAAGTGGTGCCGTTACTGGAGTGAGAAACCTGCAAGTTTATTGTAAGTACCAAAGATGGGGGCTGCGAAGACATTGGAAAAGAATTGAGTTGGGATATATTGGTGGGGGCAACTGAGGAGTGGAAGGGAAAAATGGCCTCCTCTTCCCTCCCCTCCCCTCCCCTCCCCCTTCCTCTCTCTCCATTGCTTCTCCTCTTTCTCTTTCTTTTCCTTCTCCTTCCTCCGCTTTCTCTTTCTTCCTTCTCTTCCCCTCCCTCCCCTCCTTTCCCTTCCCTTCTCCCCTAACCTCTCCTCCCCCTCCCGTCCCCTCTCCATTGTTCCCCTTTCTCTTTTCCCTTCCCTTCCTTTCCTTTCCTTCTTCTCTATTTGCTTCCCTTCCCTTCCCTTCCCTTCCCTTCCCTTCCCTTCCCTTCCCTTCCCTTCCCTTCCCTTCCCTTCCCTTCCCACTTCTTCCTTTCCTTTCCTTTCCTTTCCTTTCCTTTCCTTTCCTTTCCTTTCCTTTCCTTTCCTTTCCTTTCCTTTCCTTCCTTTCCTTTCCTTTCCTTCCCTTCCCTTCCCTTCCCTTCCCTTCCCTTCCTTTCCCTTGTAATAAGTGACTTCTTAAAAATGCCCAATCCAGCTGTTAAGAGTGGAAGGGCAGCCCAACCTCTCCATCAATCGGCAACCTCAAATAAAATGTGCGCTAAAATCGCATTCGATACTTAAAACTGAAATATTAGTTCCGACCTCCCCCCACTCTCCATCCTACCCAACATGTCAGGACTAATCCTTCCATCCTGCCAGAATTGATGAAGCTTCTTGGATGAGAAGCGAAACATCTTCTTCTCCTTCAAGAGAAAAAACAGGCCTGGATGACTGAGAATCTCCTCAGACACAGGGTGTTGCTTGATTTCAAAGACAGTGTTTTGTCGAGAGAGATCGAAGGCGTGTTGAGCTCCTCACTTTTCTATCTCATTCCAGATTCGCCTTTCTCCTTCCACCCCGAAGGCTCCCGCGTGGTCCAATTCCCACCGAATCCACGGGTTGGCCAATCAGTCTACCTATACTTAGACGATATCCAAAATCCTTCCGAGTGCAGCTGGTTCCGCGGGAAGGAACAGCGTGAGGAAGGACGGATCTTCAGTGCGAAATTTAGTGGAATCAACAGACCCTATCTCATCGATCTAAAAGGAGCAGCTCACAGAGGACGGGAAGAGGTGTGGAGAGCATGCTCCTTAGTCATCCGAAAGGTGCAGGCCTCAGATTCTGGGCCTTACATGGTCTCCATGTGGGATGAGTGGGACACCCGTCCCATAACTGCGGAGAGAGAGTTGCGAGTTTCCTGTAAGTGCCAAAGATGGCGGCTGCGAAGATATTGGGAAAGAATGGAGTGTGGGGGAGGGGTAGGAAGTGGAATCTATTAGTAGGGGCAACTGAGAGGCGAAAGGGAAGAACAGTACAGGAACAGGATAACCCTGATGTCAGGGGTGGGATTCAAGTAATTTAACAACCGGTTCTCTGCCCTAATGATTTCTTCCAACAACCAGTTTGCCAAAGTGCTCAGAAAGTTAACAGCCGGTTCTCCCGAAGTGGTGCGAACCGGCTGAATCCCACCACTGCCTGAAGTACAGTTAGAGAGAAAGGAAGAAAGGGAGGAAGGGTGGAAGGGAGGATGGAAGTAGATGGGGATGAAAAGAGGAAGGAGATGGGAACTGGTGGGAGGGTGGAAGGGAGGGAGGGAGGAAGGAACAAAGGAGATGGCAATGAAAAGAAGGAAGGAAGCAGATGGCAATGAAAAGAAGGAAGGAAGGAAATGAGACTTGGTGGGACGGTGAAAGGGAAGGAGGGAGTAAGGAGATGGCAATGAAAAGAAGGAAATGAGAATTGGACGCAGGGTGGAAGGGAGAGAGGGAGGGAGGAAAGAAAGAAAGAGGGAAATGGGAATTCAGGGAGGGAAGAAGGAAGGGAGGGAGGGAGGAACAAAGGAAGGATGGAAGGAACAAAGGAGATGGCAATGAAAAGAAGGAAGGAAGGAAATGAAACTTGGAGGGATGGTGAAAGGGAGGGAGGGAGGGAAGAAGGAAGGAGATGGCAATGAAAAGGAGCAAATGAGAATTGGAGGCAGGGTGGAAGGGAGGGAGAGAGGGAGGGAGGGATGGAGGGAGGAAAGAAAGAAAGAAAAGAAAGAAAGAAAGAAAGAAAGAAAGAAAGAGGGAAATGGGAATTCAGGAAGGGAAGGAGGAAGGAAGGAAGGAAATGGGAATGAGGGGAAAGAGCAAAAGAAGGAAAGAAGAAAAGAACAAAGGGCTAGAAGATAACTGAATTGATACCAAAAGGCAAATCTGAAGAACTAATAATATTCATCCTCTCATTTACTTTGCAGCCTAAAGATGCTTGGAAGCTGCTTCTGTCCATTTGGTCGTCTTGATCTTTGGATGAGAAACAAAGGAGCTGCAGTTCGTCAGCCATGGGGGATTCCCAGAAGGCATCAGCCATTCACTTTCTCTGTGTTCCCTTCCTCGCTTCTTCCCTTCACCCACAACAACCATTAAATTTTTTTTCTGGCAAAACGGATGTGTCTCCTAGGAGCAGCTCCTTGCAATGCAGTTCTCAGGACCAAAATCCAAATTCACTTCTGTGTCGGCTGATATAAAATAGCTTGGAAGGTTGCAATTTGCAACAAGCATTCTCCTCCCCCCCACCCCCATTATTCTGCACTGCCAAACGCTTGCTAAGAATGCCCCCTCCCCAAAGAGGTGGGTTATATGCACATCCTCAAGTTACAGCCATTCATTTAGTGACTGTTCGAAGTTATAACAGCGCTGAAAAAAGTAACTGACAGCTGGTCCTTGCACTTACGACTATTACAGCGTCCCCACAGTCACATGATCAAAATTTGGGGACTTTATAACCAGCATGTATTTACCATGGTTGAAATTTCCCATGATTACGTTATTACAATTTGCAACGTTCCCGGCTGGCTATTGATAGGGAAAATCAATGAGGCAAGCCAGATTCATTTAAGGACTGTGGCAGAAATGGTGGTAAAATTGGCTATGATTCACTTGAGAATTGCTTCGCTTAGCAACAGGAAGTCTTGTCCCAATTCTGGTCGTAAGTCGAGGACTACCTGTAGCAGTTAATAGCCACCAGTCATCAAAGCCTTTGAAGCAAGTGTGTCATTGAACATGTGGAGAGAAAGAGAGAGGGGGGGGGAAGTGTGTGTGTGTGAGAGAGAGTGAGGAGGAGAATGAGAAGGAGAGAAAGAAAGAAAGATAGAGAGAGGAGAAAGAAGGAGGAGAGAAAGAAAGAAAATGAGAGAGAAAGAGATTGAGGGAGAAGGAGAAGAAGGAAAGAAAGAGGGAGGGAGAGAGAGAGAAGGAGAGAAAGAGAAGGAGAGAAAGAAAGAGGGAGAAAGATTGAGAGAGGGGGGAGAAGGAGAAGAAGGAGAAGGAGTGAAAGAAACATTGAAAGAGAGACATTGAAAAAGAGAGGAGGAGAAGGAGGAGAGAAAGAGAGAGAGGTTAAGCGAGAGAGAGGAGAAGGAGGAGAAGGAGGAGAGAAAGAGAGAGATTGAGAGAGAGAAAAGGAGAGAAAGAAAGAGGGAGAAAGATTGAGAGAGAGGGAGAAGGAGAAGGAGAAGAAGGAGGAGTGAAAGAAAGAGATTGAGAGAGAGAGAAGGAGAAGGAGGAGAAGGAGGAGAGAAAGAGAGAGAGAGAGAGAGAGAGAGAGAGAGAGAGAGAGAGAGAGAGAGACTCTTCCCTACAATTGACCTCCCTCATCAAATGTAGGGGACCACAGCTTTCATTATGGGCCTTGTAGTCCAGTCCATCTTGAATGCAACAGGTTGGAGCACACACCACACACGCGTCCTGTACAGGTGGAATGGACAAGGATGGTTTAGTAACCATTGTTATAAGCTGCCTAGCATTACTCAGGTGAGAGGGGTGGTGTAGAACTGTAATAAAAAATAAAATAAAAACAAAGATTTCTCTGCTCGGCAACGTCCACATTAAACCAGACAATCGGCCTCTGCACCATCGCACACCCACAGGGCCCAACTCGCGTGATGCAACGAGGATACGTTGAACATCTCTTCACTGTATCTCGGCATTGCTAATGCGTGCCTGGAGCAAGCCAAACGGGTTTATCAGTCCTGGTTAAACTGGTTTTTATCTCTACGGCTTGGCAGCAGCAGCGGTTATTCTCCTCTTACAGTCAGAGGGAAGGGAATTCCTTTCTTTCATTCAACTTTTCCCACTCCTGACTCCATCTGGGGTTAAATATTGGCTTGCCTGTCTCCCCTCCCTGGTTTAAAAGCACACGGAGAAGAGTTTCAACCCCCTTGGTTCTCCATCTGGATTATAAAAGAGCATCCAGAGTAAAGGCTGAAGTACCAATATATCTGGGAAGGATGCGGTGGCTCAGTGGCTAAGACGCTGAGCTTGTTGATCGAAAGGTTAGCAGTTCAGCGGTTCGAATCCCCAGTGCCGTGTAATGGGGTGAGCTCCTGTTACTTGTCCCAGCTTCTGCCAATCTAGCAGTTTCGAAAGCAGTCTTTCAATATTTGAGGGGCTGCCCCAGAGAGGAGGGGGTCAAGCTGTTTTCCAAAGCACCTGAAGGCCAGACAAGGAATAACGGATGGAAACTGATCAAGGAGAGATTCAACCTAGAAATGAGGAGAAATTTTCTGACACTGAGAACAATCCACCCATGGAACAGAAGTTGCCTTCGGAAGTTGTGGGAGCTTCATCCCTGGAGGCTTTCAAGAAGAGACTGGACTGCCATCTGTCAGAAATGGTGTAAGGTCTCCCACTTGCATGGGGGTTGGACTAGATGACCAACAAGGTCCCCTTCCAACTCTGTGGAATCTCTCATCCAGATTACGGCTGTCCCAAAGGTGCTTTTTCCAAAAGGCAATTGGACTTTCTTGGGTTTTTTTCCCTTGAAAACCTTTCGCTTCTCATCAGAACTGAAGAAGCTTCTTGGAAGAAAAGCGAAATGTCTTCAAGGAAAAAAATGAAGTCCAGTTGCCATTTGAAAAGCACCTTTGGGATATATAACCTATTTTTCCCCCCCTTTTGAGGTTCCTCATCCCTCAAATCATTCGCTGGTTGGACTCCATCATAATCATCCTAATATCTGGGTTTACAAAACTACAAATCAGGGTTGGGAGGCTTGATTGCCCCTGGGAAAACCCTTGAAGACACTGTCTGTTAGGAATGGATCTAGAGCAGTGCTGATCAATCTTGGGAACTGTGGACTTCAATTCCCAGAATTCCCCAGCCAGCCATGCTGCTTGGGGAAGTCTGGGAGTTGAAGTCCAGACATGAAGATGTTCCCAATACTGTCCTAGAAGCATCTATAATTTGTTCTTGTGTTTTTTAAAAAAATGGACACATCAAAGCAGGCTTCTCTTCTCTCCCACAGAAGGAGCAAGGGTGTTTCTGTGCATGTGCAGAAGGCATTCGTCTCTCCTATAGCTTCTGAATGACTTGGCTCCCCTGGTATGCTTGAGCACGAAAACAAAATGAAGATTTCCAATCGCGTTCATATGCTCTTAAAAAACGCCTGCGCAACCAATGTGCAATTTCTCGTGAGTCATGCAACCCACAACTTTCAAGCACACACACACACACACACATACACAAACCTAGTTGTGACCACGACATTCCAGGCCAATGCAATGTAAAAAGAAGGAGGCCTTGCTTGACTGATTAATGACCGATTCCCGGGGCCAACAAGAGCAGTCTATTCTAAGCAGGTCAGAAAATGACTAACGGACATGTTGACTCAGTGTGCTAAATTGGGAGAAGGTTCATCTGGGTTAAAAGTAGCCGGGTAAAGTGCTTTGGGGTAAAGTAAGATGTCTGAATTCCAGCCATTGGCTTAATTTGTGGGGAGATCCATGATTTGAACCTAGAAAATAGGTCTAGTGGGTAAGGCACCAGATTAGAAAGCGGGAGACCATGAGTTCTAGTCCTGCCTTAGCCATGAAAGCTGGCTGGGTCACTCTGGGTCAATCATCAGGAGACGGTGAGTTCTAGTTCTGCCTTAGCCACAAAAGCCAGTTGGGTGACTTTGCACCAATCACCAGGAGACGGTGAGTTCTAGTTCTGCCTTAGCCACGAAAGCCAGTTGGGTGACTCTGGGCCAATCACCAGAAAACTGTGAGTTCTAGTTCTGCCTTAGCCATGAAAGCTGGCTGGGTCACTCTGGGTCAATCATCAGGAGATGGTGAGTTCTAGTTCTGCCTTAGCCATGAATGCCCATTGAGTGACTTTACACCAATCACCAGGAGACGGCGAGTTCTAGTTCTGCCTTAGCCATGAAAGCCGGCTGGGTGACTCTGGGCCAATCAGCAGGAAACTGTGAGTTCTAGTCCCGCTTTTGGCAAGAAAGGCCACTGGGTGACCTTGGACCAATCACCAGGAGATGATGAATTCTAGTCCCACCTTAGGCATGAAATTTGATTGCGTGACTTTGGGCAGGTCCCTTTCTCTCTCTCAGCCCAACTCACCTCACAGGATGGCTTGTTATGGGAAAAATAGGAGGAGGAAGGAGTATTAAGTAAAAGCCTTGAGCGATCTGTAAAAATAATAAAGGAAGGATATATCTATCTATCTATCTATCTATCTATCTATCTATCTATCTATCTATCTATCTATCTATCTATCTACTGTATCTATCCATTCCCTTATTTATCTATCATGTCTGTGTATATCTATCTATCTAATCCATATGGATTAGATATCCATCTATCCATCCATCTATCCATTTTTCTATCAGCTATCTATCTATCTATCTATCTATCTATCTATCTATCTATCTATCATCTATCTATCTATCTATCATTTATATCTATCTATCTACCCTGTTTCCTCCAAAATAAGACATCCCCTGATAATAAGCCCAATCGGGCTTTTGAGCGCATGGCAATAAGGCCAAGAGCTTATTTCAGGGTTCAAAAAAAATATAAGACAGGGTCTTATTTTCGGGGAAACACAGTATCTATCTATCTATCTATCTATCTATCTATCTATCTATCTATCTATCTATCTATCATCTATCTATCATTTATATCTATCTATCTATCCCGTTTCCCCCAAAATAAGACCTCCCCTGATAATAAGCCCAATCAGGCTTTTGCGCGAATGGCAATACGGCCAAGCGCTTATTTCAGGGTTCAAAAAAAAATATAAGACAGGGTCTTATTTTCGGGGAAACACGGGAAATAAATTAATACACTTTTAAAAAGTGTATCCAGATTATTTAAGGGTGTTACGGGAACTCAAGCAGCGTGCCTTTGAGAACCAGCTGAGTTTGGAAACTTGCTCTGATGGCTGAAAGATTTGGGCTCATCTGGAGACACACCCCAAGTTTGGGAAGGCTCTAATACAGTGTTTCTCAACTTTGGCCACTTTGAAGAGGTGTGGACTTCAACTCCCAGAATTCCTCAGCCGGCCATTGTTTAGCGACCATTGTAGAGCAAGCCTCCGGCCAGATGGGCGGCAAATAAATTGAAGAACCAAATGAATGTTGTTGTTTTAAAGATTTAGTCGTTTGTCCGACTCTCGGTGACTTTATAGGCAAGTGCTCTCCATGGTACCCTGTCAAGCACAGCTTCTTTCAGTCGCTGGGTGTTTGTCTTTGCATCAGTTTTGAGGTTATTGTGTCAGTGGGTCCTTTCCTTGCTCCATTCTTCTTGTTCCGCTAACTCTTCCTAGCATGGTTGACTTCTCCAATGAATTTGCACGCATGACATGGCCAAAGTCGGTCAGATGTGGTCTTGTGATAAATAAATAAATGCCCTGTTCATTTTATTTAATCTTTTAACTTATTTTATTATTTTATTTACTTATTTTATTTTATTATACTTATTTTATTTTATTGTACTTATTTTTATTTTATTTTATTTTATTGTACTTAGTTTAGTTTACTTTACTTATTTTATTTATTTTGCTTATTTTTATTTATTTTATTTTACTTATTTTATTTTACTTTTACTTTTTATTTTTATTTTATTCATTCATTCATTATTTTATTTTATATCTAATTTAATGAAAAGAAGGACCAGGGGTGATAAGATAGCAGTCTTTCAATATCTCAGGGGCTGCCCCAAAGAAGAGGGAGTCAAGCTCTTCTCCAAAGCACCTGAGGGCAGGACAAGAAGCAACGGGTGGAAACTAATCAAGGAGAGAAGCAAGTTAGAACTAGGGAGAAATTTCCTGACAGTTAGAACAATTAATCAGTGGAACAACTTATCTCCAGAGGTTGTGAATGCTCTAACACTGGAGGTTTTAAAGAAGAGATTGGACAACAATTTGTATGAAATAATAAAGGGTTTCCTGCCTGAGCAGGGGATTGGATTAGAAGACCTCCAAGGTCCCTCCCAACTCTGTTAAATATTGATTTGCAAAATTAAATCAAATGGGGCTATGCTTGGTAGATTAGCTTTATTTTCCCCCTGAGGCTCAGCGTGTTTTGGCTGTATAAACCCAGCCTCCTTAGCTGGTTTCTGATCCAAAGCCTTGGGGAAGTTCACTCAGCTAAGCGTGTTGTGCAAGGACAGGGAACATATCTGGAGCTGTAGACTTCTTCCTACACACAAGTGAATGCAGCTGCCCCGCCTGTTGTTGTCCTCCTGAATCCAGCTGGTTCAGTTGGTGAAACTCAGGAATCTGTAGGTGCAAAACAAGAAGGAAAGGAAGGAGGACGGAGAACGATGAAGTTGGACAACAAGCCATGAAGGTCCCGAGATGGGGAACTCCTTGGAGACTCCGTTCCTTTGCTGAAGGTGAGAAAACAGAGCTGTTTTCCATAGCAGGAGGGGAGTAGACTTGAGTGGGTAGGGCTGGAAGGGAACGGGAAATTTCTATGGGATCTTGAAAGGCTGCTTGTGAGCATTAGGTCGTTGAGAAGGAAACTCCAGTGAAGGGATCTCGAATTCTATTCTGGGGCAAGGAGAGTGGTTGTATGTTTAGAACAGGGGTCTCCAAACTTGGCAACTTTGAGACTGGAGGACTTCAACTCCCAGAATTTGCCAGCCATGGGAATTCTGGAAGTTGAAGTCCATAAGTCTTAATGTTGCCATGTTTGGAGACTCCTGGATTAGAACAAAGAAGGACAGTCCTCCCTAGACATCAGCTGTTGAGGGTCACCTTCCACCTTTCTCCTTCTCAAATTATTTTTCCTTGATCCTTTGGGAATATTCCTGTCCAAATTATCCACCCTTAGACACAGAGAAAGTTCGGAATGTCACAGTAGGATGTCAGCTACTCTAACCATTGGAAAGTAAGAGAGGAACAGATAGAAGACGATATTTGTAACTCGGGGTTGAATTGTGGGGTCCTTGGTGTCTGCTGAGCTTGGTGGTTTTCTTGCAGACGTTTTGTTACCCAACTAGGTGACGTCTTCAGGGTTTCTGTAACTTTTTCCTAGCATTGGGGATGTTACCTCACTGGATAATGGTGTGCAAGAAAACCACCAGGCTCAGAGAATGCCAAGGACCCCACCGCAAAGAGGAACTTGGGAGCTAGGTGACTGATGGATTATGTGTTCTCAAACTTTTCAGTGACTTTTCTCCAGGATGACCTGTTCCCATCCTGGTCTTCAGATCTTCCAGTAGTGTATCCATAACTGATTTTTTTTTTTTTTTGGTTTGATTTATATGCCGCCCTTCTCCGGAGACTCAGGGCGGCTTACAGTGCGTTAAGCAATAGCCTTCATACTTTTGTATATTTATATAAAGTCAGCTTATTGGCCCCACAGTCTGGGTCCTCATTTTACCTACCTTAGAAAGGATGGAAGGCTGAGTCAACCTTGAGGCTGGTGAGATTTGAACTTGCAGTAATTGCAGGCAGCTGATGTTAATAACAGTGCTTTAGTCTGCTGCGCCACCAGGGCTCTAATTGATGTAATCGAATCCACCCATTTGCTGTTGGTCATCCTCTTCTTCTCTTTCTTTCCACCTTTCCCAGTATTGCAGACTTCTCAAGAGAACTAAGAGGGAACTAGGAGGTTGGGGAAGATAGATAGATAGATAGATAGATAGATAGATAGATAGATAGATAGATGGATGGATGGATGGATGGATGGATGGATGGATGGATGGATGGATGGATGGATAGATAGATAGATAGATAGATAGATAGATGGATGGATGGATGGATGGATGGATGGATGGATGGATGGATGGATAGATAAGTAGGTAGATACAGTAGTGGCCCAAATTGTGGAAACCTTTTGGCAAAAGTGTATTTTTGAGGTTTGATGGCTAATAACATCACTTTTTTGGTGGGGAGTTTCAGGATGATCCTATTCCACTGATGGAATGGCCGGGGAATAGCCCAGACCTTCTTAACCCAATTGAAAATCTATGGATCCGACTAAAGAAACTTGTTAGTCAGAAGCCGCCCAGCAATAAAACCAAGTTAACAGAAGCCATCCTTCAATCTTGGTTTCACATTATAACAGCTGCAGAACTAAAAGACTTGGCTCACTCCGTGGGAAGACGTTGTAAAGCCATAATTCATGCTAAAGGTTACCCAATGAAGTATTAACTGACATGGTGATCATTTTTGTATATCTTGTTTTTTTCCTATGGTGACAATTTACTTGTATATCTCGTTTTTTTTCCTATGGTGACAATTTTTGAATATCTCGTTTTTTTCCTGTGGTGATCATATCTCATTTTTTTCGACATGTTTCACTTCTCTTCTTTATACTGTAACTGCTATTCTAATAGCAAATCCTTTGTAAAAGTTATTGCATTACAGTGTTGATTAAATTATCTTTCCATTGATATATAGTTTTATGGTACTACTCCCCCCCAAAAAGTGGTGTTATTAGCTAGTTTTAGAAAATACACTTTTCCCAAAAGGTTTCCATAATTTTAGCCACTACTGTAGATAGATAGATGGATGGATGGATGGATGGATGGATGGATGGATGATGGATGAAGGATGATAGAAAGATAGATAGATAGATAGATAGATAGATAGGTAGGTAGGTAGGTAGGTAGGTAGGGATAGATAGATAGATAGATAGATAGATAGATAGATAGATAGATAGATAGATCTGTTAAAGTCTGTACCTGTCCTGTTTGGTTGCTGTGCCAAACTGGACAGTTGGTTACTGAGGTAAAAATGAGAGATTCAATTATTCCTCTGTAGAATTCTATCAGCAATCTGAGCTTTCTGAGGTTGGGAAAGATCTTGGAAGCAATCCATGCCTAAGGTTGGAGATCTCTTGCCACCCTGGACTTTGGCTCTTGTCAGGGAGGGGGCCCTCGGTCACCCGGCTTTTTGGTGGGGGGGTAATTGAGCTTTTAATATTCCAGGACATTCCTTGGCAGCCAAGAAGTCAAGCTCGGGCGAGTTTGACGCCAGTTCTCACATTCTCTCCTTGAAGGCTTGCAAACTCAAGAGGCCGGTCAGGAAGAAATATCAGCCGGGATTGTGGCACCACTGGAAGAGCAGATGTAGTCTTGGGAGCTTCTAAGAATTCTTCCTCCCGTAGAATGGGACAAAGCTGGGATTCAAAGGCTTGACTGGCAAGGCCACCATCCCCTTTTCAAGCTTCGATTCATCCGATCTGCATTTTGGGGGGAGTTGCGTTCCAGCAAGCAGCATGCCGACGGAGAAAATGGAGGTTTTTTATAAACACCTTTCCTTGAGAGGTAAGTGGTAAGAATTGGGAATTATTAGAATTAGAATTAGAATTAGAACTCTTTATTGGCCAAGTGTGATTGGACACACAAGGAATTTGTCTTTGGTGCATACGCTCTCGGAGTACATAAAAGAAAAGATACGTTCATCAAGAACCATAAGGTACAACACTTAATGATAGTCATAGGGAAACAGTCAATATAAATCTTAAGGATACCAGCAACAAGGTTACAGGAATAGAATAGAATAGAATAGAATAGAATAGAATAGAATAGAATAGAATAGAATAGAATAGAATAGAATAGAATAGAATAACGGAGTTGGAAGGGACCAACCAGTCCAAGAGCCTTGCTAGTACAGTGGTCTAAGGCACCCTGTTATTAAGCTGGTTATTAAGACCAGCTGCCTGCAATTACTGCAGGTTCGAATCTTGCCAGGCTCAAGGTTGACTCAGCCTTCCATCCTTTCTAAGGTAGGTGAAATGAGGACCCAGTTTGTGGGGGCAATAAGCTGACTTTGTATAAATATACAAAAGAATGAAGGCTATTGCTTAGCGCATTGTAAGCCACCCTGAGTCTCCGGAGAAGGGCGGCATATAAATCAAATTAAAAAAAAAACAAAAATTTCTAGTCCAACCCCCTGCTTAGGCAGGAAACCCTACACCACTTCAGACAAATGGTTATCCAATATCTTAAAAACTTCCAGTCTTGGAGCATTTACAACTTCTGGAGGCAAGTTGTTCCACTGGTTAATTGTTCTCACTGTCAGGAAATTTCTGCTTAGTTCTAAATTGCTTCTCTCCTTGATTCGTTTCCACCCATTGCTTCTTGTCCTGCCCTCAGGTGCTTTGGAGGATAGCTTGACTCCCTCTTCTTTGGGGCAGCTCCTGAGATATTGGAAGACTGCTAAACATTTCTCCTTTTGTTTTGTTTTTTAGTTTATTTTGCCAGCTCTCTGCCAGCGAAAATGGAGCTTGGGCTCTGTTTTCACTGTCAGAGGGCTGGAGGAGGCTGTCGCAGCCCCAAAACCCTCCCATGCTCCATTTTCACTGACAGAGGTACCACGGGCCGGTCCTTTGCTGTTTCCAGGATGGCTCCGTGGATCAGATCTAAGCACCCTGCAGGTTGGATCTGCCCCATGAGCCTTGAGTTTGACACCCCTGCCCTATACAATTCTTCCTCTCTTTTCTCCTGACAGTCTCTTTCCTGGCCCTATGGATTATTCTGGTCCAAGCAAGCAGGATCAATATAGTGTCCATCCCGGAGACCCCTGCCGAAGGCCAGAATGTCACTTTCTCCGTGGAAAGAGTGCAGGGAGACATCCGTGAAGTCAACTGGTTCCGAGGAATGGCCTCTCAGGGATCTTCAAGGATCTTCAGTTTTTTCCCCGGAAATTATCGTCCTCAGCGCAACGGGGTTCAATTTACCAACAGAGAATTTGGTTTCCACAATGGATCTATGCAGATCACTGGGCTCAAGGCCAGTGACGTCGGCCAGTACAACGTTGTGATTTTACTGCGGCCCAAAGAAATCCTCAACGCCTCCATTGATCTCCGGTTGGCTAGTAAGTACGGGTCCTTGACTTGTATAAAGGTTTGTTTAGTGGCCATTCGGAGTTACAACAGAGTTACAAATGACATGACCATTTTTCATACTGTTTATGACCGTTGAATTCTGGGAGTTGAGGTCCACCCATCTTAAAGCATGCTGGCTGGGGAATTCTGGGAATTGAAGTCCACCCATCTTAAAATACCCTAGATGGGGAATTCTGGGAGTTGAAGTCCACTCAACTTAAAACATGCTCTCTGGGGGACTCTGGGAGATGAAGTCCACCTATCTGAGTGGGGAATTCTGGGAACTGAAGTCCACTCATCTTAAAATACTCTAGATGGGGTACTCTGGGAGTCGAAGTCCACTCATCTTAAAGTGCACTGACTAGGGAATTCTGGGATTCGAAGTCCACTCATCTTAAAGCACACTGACTAGGGAATTCTGGGAGTCGAAGTTCACTCATCTTAAAGCACACTGACTAGGGAATTCTGGGAGTTGAAGTCCACTCATCTTAAAATACACCTAGATGGGGAATTCTGGGAGTTGAAATCCACCATCTTAAAATACCCTAGATGGGGAACTCTGGGAGTTGAAATCCACCCATCTTAAAATACCCTAGATGGGGAACTCTGGGAGTTGAAGTCCACTCATCTTAAAATACTCTAGATGGGGAATTCTGGGAGTTGAAGTTCACTCATCTTAAAGCACACTGACTAGGGAATTCTGGGAGTTGAAGTCCACTCATCTTAAAGCACACTGACTAGGGAATTCTGGGAGTTGAAGTCCACTCATCTTAAAATACCCTAGATGGGGAATTCTGGGAGTTGAAGTCCACCCATCTTAAAATCGCTGTGGTTGAATAAAACTCATCTCAGAGGCAACCAAAATTCTCACCTAACTGTAAGGTGGTGAACGTCCAGAAAATTTTAGCTAAGTTACAGCCATTAAAAGTTGAGTGAGCTAAGAGTCCCATCTAAAACAACTTCAAAGCCTCGCCGGCTATTATAGGGTCAGGAATGGTTGACCCCTGACCCTTCCATCCTTATTTCCATTCTAGCACCACCTCTGGCCACGGTGACAACGGCGACAACAGCAACAACAACGGTGACAACAGCAGCAACAGGAACCTCACCCATTAAGGAAGTTCCCAAAGAGCCTTCGAAGTTGGGCTGGATCGTGGCCGGGGTGCTGGTTGGCGTTTTGCTGTGCGGGGCACTCGGTGCCATTATGATTTATCGGTTTGTTTTACGGAAATCGGAACCCGGCACAGGGTAGGAGTTTCCCCACTTCCCCCTCTCCCTTCCTCCCGCCCCTCCCCTTCCCCAACGGGTTCGGTCGTGATTCTAATCAGGTCTCCAAATGTTGAAATTCGAAATTACAGGGTGGTTGGGCAAGCGTTGCCGGGATTCAGGTTAGAGGGAGAATTATGCCTTTCAGGTTCGGTTCCAGGAAGGAGGAGTGCCCCTCCCCCCCAACGCTGAGTATCTGCACTTCCGTGCAAGTGTGCAAGAGGTTAGAAGCGTTGACCGACCTTCATTCTCATCCAGCCCAATTTCTCTCTCTCTGTCTTTTTTTTTTTTTAGGGTAACAGGAAAATTGGATCTAGCAGCAAGAATGTCGCCTCCATCTAAACATGGTAAGCGTGCTACTGGCAGTTCTCGATTTATGACCGATCACTTAGCGACTATTCGCTAAATTATGATGGATGCCCCTTCTCCCGAAAGGTACTTACAACCCAAATTCAAAATTCCGATGGCTACACTGCCCCCTGCAGTCATATGACTGTATTGGGGCCCTTGTCATTCATTCATTCATTCATTCATTCATTCATTTCATTCATTCATTCATTCATTCATTCATTCATCAAATTTATGTGCCACCCATCCCATCAGAGACGACTCTGGTCATCTTACAAACGATAAAACTAACTCCTCGACGTACGACCACCATTGAGCCCCAAATATTTGTTGTTAAGCGAGACAGCTGTTAAGTGAATTTGCCCCGTTTTATGACCTTTTTTGCCACGGTTGCTAAGTGAATCACTGCGATGGTTAAATTAGTAATCGCAAAAGGAGATCACGTGACGCCAGGACACTGCGACCGTCATAAATGTGAGTCAGTTCCCAAGCGTCTGGATTTTGATCACGTGACCACGGGGAAGCTGTAATGGTCGTAAGTGTGAACAACGGTCATAAGTCACTTTTTTCAGTGCCGCTGAGCGGTCACTAAACGGTTGTAAATCGAGGACTACCCATACCGTAAAAATAATACTAATGGACTTTGTAGCCATCCTGTGGTCTTCCTTCCTTAAGGTCATTCCCACATACCGTTACAACTCTCCATGTATGTTAGCAATGACATGACACCTTTTTCTTCTGTTTTCCAGATGACAAGGAACCCATTTATGAGGTGGTGGATTCTCCAGTGGAATCACCAAAGGATCTGCCCCCGATCTCTGGCCCTCTTCCGGTGAGTTTCCACCTGTCTTCTCCTTGGTTTCTTCTGAGGTTGAACAGTGAAGGAGGTTGATGGATCAGGAGATGGGCCGAACCAACATGGCCCAGATTCTCAAGCTGGTGACCTCAGAAGGTCCACAGAAGAAGGTTCGACAGACCGGAATTCCTTAGCTTTGCTGGCTGAGGAATTCTGGGAGTTGAAGTCCACAAGTCTTAAAGTTGCCAAGGTTGGAGGCCCCTGCCACAGACGATGTCCCCTTTTTCCCACTGGAAGAACAGATGACTCCGATGCAAAGAGCAACTTCTGGTTTTGAGTTTCACTTTCACTTTCACTAGAGCAGAGGTCTCCAAACTGGGCAACTTTAAGACTTGTGGACTTCAAGTCCCAGAATTCTCCAGCCAGCATGAATTCTGGGACTTGAAGTCCACAAGTCTTCCAAGGTTGAGAAACACTGTTCTCTAGGCATGTTTGGGTTTAGGATTTACTCCTGCTTTCCCATTCTTTCTTTGTGGGAGTAGGATTCCTTTCCTTCCTTCCTTCCTTCCTTCCTTCCTTCCTTCCTTCTTTCCTTCCTTCCTTCCTTCCTTCCTTCTTCCTTCCTCCTCCCTCCCTCCTCCCTTCCTCCCTCCCCTCCCTCACTCCTTCCCTTTTTTCCTTCCTTCCTTCCTTCTTCCTTCCTTCCTTCCTTCCCTTTTCTTCTTCCTCCCTCCCTTCTTCCCTTCCTCCCTCCCTCCCTCCCTCCCTTATTAACTGCCAGAAAAAGAGTCTTCACAAAATGTCTCCATGTAAAGTCAAACAGGGACATCAAAGCCCCGCCCATTTTTAAATTTGCACAGGCAATTTACATAAAATGGGTGGAGCTTCGATTGCACCATGTGGCTGCCATCGTGATTTTTTTTCCCCCTGCTTGGTTTAATGGCTCTTTTTCTCTTAAAAATGCAAAGTCAAAAGGAAAGGGAAGAGAAGAATTTATTTGTTTTTTTTTTAAAAAAATCTTGGTTTTCCAGCTTTAAGGAATTTTCCCCCCGTGGTTATATATTTGTCTCTCTTTGCAGCCCCTTCCAGGGACTTGCCCCAAGTTGGACTCAAACTATACGGTACGTTTCAACTCAGGTGATTATCCTAAGCAGGTCTTTCCTGTGGCTTAATTTATAATAATCACAAAACTGGACCTGAGATGAAAAGGAGCCACAGGTTGAGGTGTGGTAAGAAATATTTCAACCAATTTTCCAACAGATCCCTAAAAATTACTGATGGTTGGAAAGTCAGCCAAATGTTTAGACTGGATTTGACATTTTTATCCACCTATCGAGTCCTTCCCAAAGATCTGGAAATAGGCAGCTGTTGTTGTTTGATGGTGTTAAAAGTTGTCATCCTGGGATGTAAGCTGATCAAAATAAAGCTGCCTTTTGCAATTGACTGATGGTGATTTTGTCAATGCCAAAGGTGTGCAACTTTATTTATTGATGTATTTTGCTTTCTCTCCTTTTTCTTTTAGGATTTACTCTACAGAGCCGAGTCCTGTTTACTCTGAAATCAAGAGATGATACTGTTGCTGAGAGATTCCTGATTCTTGGGTCATCTTGGATAATGACCCATCCAAAAATGTTAGGACAAAAACAAAATACTGTAATCCAAATATTTCTATCTTTATGGGATCGAAGAGTCTTTTCTCTGCCAGACTGCAAGACTGTCTCTTGATGGAATGGAGTCAAACAGAATTGGGCAGTCAGTTGGCCATCATCATTCACCCAAAATGTGGGCTACGATTTAGAAGATCTAGAGGGATGGAAGAAGAAATGGACAGCGGGGCTGTCATTCTATGTAGACTTGCTCGGGGGTTGGACTAGAAGACCTCCAAGATCCCTTCCAACTCTGTTATTCTGTGATCGTGCAATTTGTTTAAAAATTCTGAGGGCCCCAGATGTGTCTCTCTCTGTGTGCGTGCAGATCTTGCACAGATGTCCAGCTGACCTCAGCTATGAGACCAGATGGTCAGCCTAGAAGATGGGCTGCTGCGAGACAGCCAGAAAGTAATGAGGACGTCTTAAGACTTTTGAGGATTTCATCAACGTTGGCTATCTCCAAGAGGAAGCGTGTTTAATCCCATCGTACGTCTGTAGCCATCGCCCATCTGATGTTCTCCTTGTTTCTCTACACCAGCGGTGTCAAACTCCCAGAATTTTCCAGCTAGGATTGTTTCTCAAACTTGACTCTTTAAGATGGGTGGACTTCAACTCCCAAATTCCCAAGCCAGGATTGTTTCTCAACCTTGACCCTTTAATATAGATGGACTTCAACTCCCGGAATTCCTCAACCAGGACTGTTTCTCAATCTTTGTCCTTTAAGATGGGTAGATTTCAACTCCCAGAATTCCCTTGGCAGCTTGAAGAGATGTGGACTTCGACATGCCTTAAAGTTGGCGAGCTTGAGAAATCCTTGTTTAAGGTCTAATCCAGGGGTGTCAAACTCAGTTTCATTGAGGGCCGCATCAGGGCTGTGGTTGACCTCGGGGGGCCAAGTGGGCATGGCCGACTGGATGGGCGTGGGCAGCTGGGTGGGCATGGCCAGCTTGATGCCATTCACTGGGCATGGCCGACTGGATGGGCATGGCCAGCTGGGTGGGCGTGGGCAGCTTGACACCACTCCCCAAACTGCTGGCCCGATGTTTCTTCTACGCATTGGGTAGGCCGGGCTGAAGTGACATGGGCAAGCCCCTTACGTTTTCTAGGATGGCACCGCAGGCTGGATCTGACCACATCTTGGGCCGGATTTGGCCCTCGGTTCTTGAATTTGACACCCTTGCTCTACACTCTCTTGCGAATGATAATATCCCGTCTGAAACTGATTTATTTTCATTCTATAGTTTTGGGTGGGTGGGTTAGAAAGGATGGGGCACCTATCTTGACCGCCTGTAGCGTTACTTCTGAAGAAGATGAAAGGATAAGGGACATTCTGTTCAGGCTAGGAAATTTCCAAGCTGGGTCAAACGGTAAAGACGCCGTAAAAGGGTCACAAGTCACGTTTGAGATTTGGGTTAAAAAAAGATGAGATTCTCACATTTCAGTGGAGAGAATGCCTCACCGTGGAAAGGAGAGCAGAGGTTGTACAGCCTCCGGGTTCAAGGACCACAGAGAGTCCTCGACTTACAACGGAAATTGGGGCCAGAGTTTTCGTTGCTAAGCCAGCTGGTTGTTAAGTGAGTCACGGCCAATTTTATAACCTTTCTTGGCACGATTGATAAGCAAATCTCTGCAGTTGTGAAAGGCGTCGGGAGGGTTGTTGAGCAAATCCGGTTTCTCCCATTGACTTTGTTTGGCAAAGCGGTGATAATTCGCATATTAAAAATATTCATTTCTCAACCCTGGGGTTGGTCCGTGTCTTTCTCATTCTTGGGTCCTCTACCTGGGAAATTGAAGGTATCTCAGCTGTCCCTAGCACTTCCCTCTTCTGGACAACAGACATATATATATATATGAATATTATTTATGTGTGAGAGTGTGCATTAGATAGAGATAGAGATAAAGATAGAGATAAGGTAGAGATAGAGATAGAAATAAGGATAAGGTAACAGCGGTGGGTTTCACTTATTTTTACCACTGGTTCGCCCAGCCTCAAACACATGGCTAAATAGGACGGCATATTTTATTGTACTTATTTTATTTTATTGTACTTATTTTTATTTATTGTACTTATTTTTATTTATTTTATTTTACTTATTTTATTTTATTCTACTTAGTTTACTTTATTTTACTTATTTTATTTATTTTACTTATTTAGTTTAGTTTATTGTACTTATTCTATTTTATTGTACTTAGTTTATTTTATTGTACTTAGTTTAGTTTATTGTACTTAGTTTAGTTTATTGTACTTATTTTTATTTATTTTATTGTACTTAGTTTAGTTTATTGTACTTAGTTTAGTTTATTGTACTTATTTTTATTTATTTTATTGTACTTAGTTTAGTTTATTGTACTTAGTTTAGTTTATTGTACTTGTTTAGTTTATTGTTTCTTATTTTTATTTATTTTATTTTACTTAGTTTAGTTTATTTTACTTTTACTTTTTATTTTATTTTATTTATTTTACTTATTTAGTTTAGTTTATTGTACTTATTCTATTTTATTGTACTTAGTTTATTTTATTGTACTTAGTTTAGTTTATTGTACTTAGTTTAGTTTATTGTACTTATTTTTATTTATTTTATTGTACTTAGTTTAGTTTATTGTACTTAGTTTAGTTTATTGTACTTATTTTTATTTATTTTATTGTACTTAGTTTAGTTTATTGTACTTAGTTTAGTTTATTGTACTTAGTTTAGTTTATTGTTCTTATTTTTATTTATTTTATTTTACTTAGTTTAGTTTATTTTACTTTTACTTTTTATTTTATTTTATTTATTTATTTATTCATTATTTTATTTTATATCTAGTTTAATGAAAAGAAGGACCAAGAGTGACAAGATAGCAGTCTTCCAATATCTCGGGGGTTCCCCAAAGAAGAGGGAGTCAGGCTATTCTCCAAAGCACCTGAGGGCAGGACAAGAAGCAATGGGTGGAAACTAATCAAGGAGAGAAGCAACCTAGAACTAAGGAGAAACTTCCTGACAGTTGGAACAATTAATCAGTGGAACAACTTGCATCCAGAAGTTGTGAATGCTGCAACACTGGAAGTTTTAAAGAAAAGATTGGACAACAATTTGTATGAAATAATACAGGGTTTCCTGCCTGAGCAGGGGATTGGATTACAAGACCTCCAAGGTCCCTTCTAACTCTGTTAAATATTGATTTGCGAAATTAAATCAAATGGGGTTATGCTTGGTAGATTAGATTTCCCCCCCCGAGGCTCAGCGTGTTTTGGCTGTATAAACCCAGCCTCCTTAGCTGGTTTCTGATCCAAAGCCTTGAGGAAGTTCACTCAGCTAAGCATGTTGTGCAAGGGCAGGGAACATATCTGGAGCTGTAGACTTCTTCTTACACACAAGTGAATGCAGCTGCCCCGCCTGTTGTCCTCCTGCAATCCAGCTGGTTCGGTTGGTGAAACTCAGGAATCTGTAGGTGCAAAACAAGAAGGAAAGAAAGGAGGACGGAGAACAATGAAGTTGGACAACAAGCCATGAAGGTCCCAAGATGGGGACTCCTTGGAGACTCCGTTCCTTTGCTGAAGGTGAGAAAAGCTGTTTTCCATAGCAGGAGGGGAGTAGAGTTGAGTGGGTAGGGCTGGAAGGAACGGGAAGTTTCTATGGGATCTTGAAAGGCTGCTTGTGAGCATTAGGTCGTTGAGAAGGAAACTCCAGTGAAGGGATCTCGAATTCTATTCTGGGGCAAGGAGAGTGGTTGTATGTTTAGAACAGGGGTCTCCAAACTTGGCAACTTTGAGACTGGTGGACTTCAACTCCCAGAATTTACCAGCCATGGGAATTCTGGAAGTTGAAGTCCATAAGTCTTAATGTTGCCATGTTTGGAGACTCCTGGATTAGAACAAAGAAGGACAGTCCTCCCTAGACATCAGCTGTTGAGGGTCCAGCTGATGTCCACCTTTCTCCTCAAATTATTTTTCCTTGGTCCTTTGAGAATATTCCTGTCCAAAGTTTGTGTTCTCAAACTTTTCAATGACTTTTCTCCAGGATGATCTGTTCCCATCCTGGTCTTCAGATCTTCCAGTAGTGTATCCATATCAGATGTAATCGAATCCATCCATTTGCTGCTAGTCATCCTCTTCTTCTCTTTCTTTCCCCCTTTCCAGTATTGCAGACTTCTCAAGAGAACTAGGAGAGAACTAGGAGGTTGGGGGAGATAGATAGATAGATGGATAGATAGATAGATAGATAGATAGATAGATAGATAGATAGATAGATAGATAGATAGAGATAGATAGAAAGAGTGAGTGAGTGAGTGAGTAGTGGCCCAAATTGTGGAAATCTTTTGGCAAAAGTGTATTTTTGAGATTTGATGGCTAATAAACACCACTTTTTTGGGGGGAGTTTCAAGATAATCCTATTCCACTGCTGGAATGGCCTGTGAATAACACAGACCTTCTTAACCCAATTGAAAATCTATGGAGCCGACTAAAGAAACTGGTTAGTCAGAAGTGACCCAGCACTAAAACCCAGTTAATAGAAGCAGTCCTTCAATCTTGGTTTCACATGATAACAGCTGCAGAACTCAAAGACTTGGTTCACTCCATGGGAAGACGTTGTAAGGCCGTCATTCACGCTAAAGGTTACCCAACGAAGTATTAACTGACATGGTGATCATTTTTGTATATCTCGTTTTTTTTCCTATGATGACAATTTTTGTATATCTCGTTTTTTTTCGACATGTTTCACTTCTCTTCTTTATACTGTAACTGCTATCCTAATAGCAAATCCTTCGTAAAAGTTATTGCATTACAGTGTTGATTAAATTATCTTTCCATTGATTTATAGTTTTATGATTATAGTTTTATCCGTTTTAGCTTCTGGTCCCTAATCATCTTTGTCATTGATGAGACATCTTGGTGGAAAACCTGCGTGGTCATGATATGGGATGAAACCCGCTGATGACCTCTTGGAGATTTCCAACAACTTGGAAAGTTAGTCGAATCAAATTCAGAAGCTGCAAAACCCTCCTGTTTATGATGAGAAAGCCTTTTATATTTTATTTAAGACAGACCTTTCTATTCAGCACCTACTTGTAGATCATTCAGATCCTGGAACTTCTCTCTCTTCTATCCACTCTCTAGTTCAAACTCACTTTCATTGTGCATCGGGTTGTGTTTGACCTCGGGGCAGGGGGGACCATGGTGGGTGTCAAGGGGGGCAGAGGGATTTTTCACTTTGGTGCTAAGGGAACTTCCCTCATCCTTCATTCTCACTTATCCTATTCTAGTCCTTCCTTCCTTCCTTCCTTCCTTCTTTTCTTGATTCTTCCTTTCTCCTTCCGTCTTCCTTGGTCTTTATTTGTTTCCTTCTTTTTCTGTTTTCCTTCCTTTCATTTTTTTTCTCCTTTTTTCTTTTTTTTCCTTCCTTCCTTCATTTCTTTTTTTTTTTCTTAGTCCTGGTTCATTAGTTTTTTTTTGATTCCTTCCTTCTTTTTCCTTTTTCCTTCTTCCCTTCTCCTTTTGGTTGTTCCTTAAGTCCTTCTTTTTTCTTCTTCATTTTTATTTTCTTGTTGATGTTTCATTTTTTATTCCTTGTTTTTTTTTATTTTTTTGTTTTTTTTTTTTCTTTTTTGTTTTGGTTAGTTTTTCATTTTTAGTTTCTGTATTCTTTTTTGGCATTTTGGGAGGACTTCCTTTTTGTTTTTTTAGATGTTTTGGGCAGCCCTCTGTTAATGAGTGAAAGCTTTTATTTATTTCAGACAGACAAATTCTTTCTAGGCACCCAGCTGCACTCTGTAAAAGAGATAGTAAGCAGAATACAGAATAACAGCGTGGAAGGGATCTTGGCGGTCTTCTAGTCCAGCCCTCTGCAGGAGACCCTATACCGGGGTTCAAACTCACTTTCATTGAGAGCTGCATCAGGGTTGTGTTTGACCTCGGGGGGGGGGGACCATGGTGGGTGTGGTCAAGGGGGGCGTGGGCACTCGACTTCACTCGTGATGGGGGCACCTGTGCTAAGGCAGGACTTCCCTCAGACCCTCCTTCCCTTCATTATAACTTCCTTCCTTCCTTCTCCTTCCTTCCTTCCTTCCTTCCTTCCTTCCTTCCTTCCTCTTCATTCTCCTTTCTCCTTCCTTCCTTCCTTCCTTCCTTCCTTCTTTTTCCTTCCCTCTTCATTTCCTTTCTCCTTCTTCTTCCTTCTTTTTTTCCTTCCCTCTTCATTCTCCTTTCTCCTTCCTTCCTTCCTTTTCCTTCCTTCCTTCTCCTTTTCCTTCCTTCTTCCTTCCTTCCTTCTTCTTTTTCCTTCCTTCATTCTCTTTTCTCCTTCCTTCCTTCCTTCCTTCTTCCTTCCTTCCTTCCTTCCTTCCTTCCTTCCTTCCTTTTCTTTTTCCTTCCCTCTTCCCTCTTCATTCTCCTTTCTTCTTCCTTCCCCTCTTTCCTCATTTTTCCTTCCTTGTTCTCTTCCCATTTCCCATCTTTTCTTTTGTCGTTCCTCTTTCCCTTTCTCCTTTCCTGTCCCTTCTTGCATGCTCAAATGCAAAAGGGGAAACATTTCTCCTTTTGTTTTGTTTTTTTAGTTTATTTTGCCAGCCCTCTGCCAGAGAAAATGGAGCTTGGGCTCCATTTTCAGTAATAGAGTGCTGGAGGAGGCCGTCGCAGCCCAAACCCTCCCAAGCTCCATTTTCGCGGACAGAGGTACCAGGACCAGTCCTTTGCTGTTTCCAGGATGGCTCCGTGGACCAGATCTAAGCACCCTGCAGGTCGGATCTGCCCCATGAGCCTTGAGTTTGACACCCCTGCCCTATTCAATTCTTCCTCTCTTTTCTCCTGACAGTCTCTTTCCTGGCCCTATGGATCATTCTGGTCCAAGCAAGCAGGATCAATATAGTGTCCATCCCGGAGACCCCTGCCGAAGGCCAGAATGTCACTTTCTCCGTGGAAAGAGTGCAGGGGGACATCGTGAAGTCAACTGGTTCCGAGGAATGGACTCTCAGGGATCTTCAAGGATCTTCAGTTTTTTCCCCGGAAATTATCATCCTCAACACAATTGGATTCAATATACCAACAGAGAATTTGGTTTCCACAATGGATCTATGCAGATCACTGGGCTCAAGGCCAGTGACGTCGGCCAGTACAACGTTGTGATTTTTCTGCGGCCCAAAGAAATCCTCAACGCCTCCATTGATCTCCGGTTGGCTAGTAAGTACGGGTCCTTGACTTGTATAAAGGTTTGTTTAGTGGCCATTCGGAGTTACAACAGAGTTACAAATGACATGACCATTTTTCATACTGATTATGACTGTTGAACTCTGGGAGATGAAGTCCACTATTTGTCTGGGGAATTCTGGGAACTGAAGTCCACCCATCTTAAAATACCCTAGATGGGGAATTCTGGGAATCGAACTCCACCCATCTTAAAATCGCTGTGGTTGAATAAAACTCATCTCAGAGGCAACCAAAATTCTCACCTAACTGTAAGCTGGTGAACGTCCAGAAAATTTTAGCTAAGTTACAGCCATTAAAAGTTGAGTGAGCTAAGTGTCCCATCTAAAACAACTTCAAAGCCTCACCGGCTATTATAGGGTCAGGAATGGTTGACCCCTGACCCTTCCGCCCTTATTTCCATTCTAGCACCACCTCTGGCCACGGCGACATCGGCGACAACAGCAACAACAACAACGGTGACAACAGCAGCAACAGGAACCTCACCCATTAAGGAAGTTCCCAAAGAGCCTTCGAAGTTGGGCTGGATCGTGGCCGGGGTGCTGGTTGGCGTTTTGCTGTGCCATTATGATTTATCGGTTTGTTTTACGGAAATCGGATCCCGGCACAGGGTAGGAGTTTCCCCACTTCCCCCTCTCCCTTCCTCCCACCCTCCCCTCCCCAACGGGTTCGGTTGTGATTCTAATCAGGTCTCCAAATGTTGAAATTCGAAATTACAGGGTGGTTGGGCAAGCGTTGCTGGGATTCAGGTTAGAGGGAGAATTATGCCTTTCAGGTTCGGTTCCAGGAAGGAGGAGTGCCCCTCCCCCCAAAACCAAGGAAAATTGGAGCTAGGAGCAAGAATGTCGCCTGCATCTAAACATGGTAAGCATTCGCTACGTTATGATGGATGCCCCTTCTCCTGAAAGGTACTTACAACCCAGATTCAAAATTCCGATGGCTACCTGCCCCCTGCAGTCATGTGATCGCATTTGGGGCAGTTGTCATTCATTCATTCATTCATTCATTCATTCATTCATTCATTCATTCATTCATTCATCAAATTTATGTGCCACCCATCCCATCAGAGACGACTCTCGACATCTTACAAACATTAAAACTAACTCCTCGACGTACGACCACCATTGAGCCCCAAATATTTGTTGCTAAGCGAGACAGCTGTTAATTGAGTTTTGCCCCGTTTTAGGACCTTTCTTGCCACGGTTGCTAAGTGAATCACTGCGACAGTTAAATTAGTAACCAGGCTGTTGGGCGAAGTTGGCTTCCCGTTGACTTTGCTTCTCAGAAGGTCGCAAAAGGAGATCACGTGACACTGAGGACACTGCGACAATCATAAATGAGAGACAGTTCCCAAGCGTCTGGATTTTGATCACGTGACCACGGGGAAGCTGTAATGGTCGTAAGTGTGAACAACGGTCATAAGTCACTTTTTTCAGTGCCGCTGAGCGGTCACTAAACCGTTGTAAGTCGAGGACTACCCATACCGTAAAAATAATACTAATGGACTTTGCAGCCATCCTGTGGTCTTCCTTTCTTAAGGTCATTCCCATATACCGTTACAACTCTCCATGTATGTTAGTAATGACATGACACCTTTTTCTTCTGTTTTCCAGATGACAAGGAACCCATTTATGAGGTGGTGGATTCTCCAGTGGAATCACCAAAGGATCTGCCCCCGATCTCTGGCCCTCTTCCGGTGAGTTTCCACCTGTCTTCTCCTCTGCTTCTTCTGAGGTTGAACAGTGAAGGAGGTTGATGGATCAGGAGATGGGCCGAACCAACATGGCCCAGATTCTCAAGCTGGTGACCTCAGAAGGTCCACAGAAGAAGGTTCGACAGACCGGAATTCCTCAGCTTTGCTAGCTGAGGAATTCTGGGAATTGAAGTCCACAAGTCTTAAAGTTGGCAAGGTTGGAGGCCCCTGCCACAGATGATGTCCCCTTTTTCCTACTGGAAGAACAGATGACTCCGATGCAAAGAGCAACTTCTGGTTTTGAGTTTCACTTTCACTTTCACTAGAGCAGAGGTCTCCAAACTGGGCAACTTTAAGACTTGTGGACTTCAAGTCCCAGAATTCTCCAGCCAGCATGAATTCTGGGACTTGAAGTCCACAAGTCTTCCAAGGTTGAGAAACACTGTTCTCTAGGCATGTTTGGGTTTAGGATTTACTCCTGTTTTCCCATTCTTTCTTTGTGGGAGTAGGATTCCTTTCCTTCCTTCCTTCCTTCCTCCTTCCTTCCTCCCTCCCCTCCCTCCCTCCTTCCCTTTTTTCCTTCCTTCCTTCCTCCCTCCCCTCCCTCCCTCCTTCCCTTTTTTCCTTCCTTCCTTCTTCCTTCCTTCCTTCCTTCCTTCCTTCCTTTTTCCTTCCTTCCTTCCTTCCTTCCCTTTTCTTCTTCCTCCCTCCCTTCTTCCCTTCCTCCCTCCCTTCCTCCCTCCCTTCCTTGTTAATTGCCAAAAAAAGAGCCTTCACAAAATGTCTCCATGTAAAGTCAAACAGGGACATCAAAGCCCCGCCCATTTTTAAATTTGCACAGGCAATTTACATAAAATGGGTGGAGCTTCGATTGCACCATGTGGCTGCCATCTTGATTTTTTTTCCCCCTGCTTGATTTAATGGCTCTTTTTCTCTTAAAAATGCAAAGTCAAAAGGGAAGGGAAGAGAAGAATTTATTTGTTTTTTTAAAAAAAATCTTGGTTTTCCAGCTTTAAGGAATTTTCCCCCTCATGGTTATATATTTGTCTCTCTTTGCAGCCCCTTCCAGGGACTTGCCCCAAGTTGGACTCAAACTATACGGTACGTTTCAACTCAGGTGATTATCCTAAGCAGGTCTTTCCTGTGGCTTAATTTATAATAATCACAAAACTGGACCTGAGATGAAAAGGAGCCACAGGTTGAGGTGTGGTAAGAAATCTTTCAACCAATTTTCCAACAGATCCCTAAAAATTATTGATGGTTGGAAAGTCAGCCAAATGTTTAGACTGGATTTGACATCTTTATCCACCTATCGAGTCCTTCCCAAAGATCTGGAAATAGGCAGCTGTTGTTGTTTGATGGTGTTAAAAGTTGTCATCCCGGGATGTAAGCTGATCAAAATAAAGCTGCCTTTTGCAATTGACTGATGGTGATTTTGTCAATGCCAAAGGTGTGCAACTTTATTTATTGATGTATTTTGCTTTCTCTCCTTTTTCTTTTAGGATTTACTCTACAGAGCCGAGTCCGTTTACTCTGAAATCAAGAGATGATACTTTGCTGAGAGATTCCTGATTCTTGGGTCATCTTGGATAATGACCCATCCAAAATGTTAGGACAAAAACAAAATACTGTAATTCAAACATTTCTATCTTTATGGGATCGAAGGGCCTTTTCTCTGCCAGGCTGCGAATACAGAAAATAACTTTGAACCTATCGTTAAATCCAGATTTTATTGAACCCAAGACTGTCTCTTGATGGAATGGAGTCAAACAGAATTGGGCAGTCAGTTGGCCATCATCATTCACCCAAAATGTGGCCTACGATTTAGAAGATCTAGAGGGATGGAAGAAGAAACGGACAGCCGGGGCTGTCATTCTAGGTAGACTTGATCGGGGGTTGGACTAGAAGACCTCCAAGATCCCTTCCAATTCTGTTATTCTGTGATCGTGCAATTTGTTTAAAAATTCTGAGGGCCCCAGATGTGTCTCTCTCTGTGTGCGTGGATCTTGCACAGATGTCCAGCTGACCTCAGCTATGAGACCAGATGGTCAGCCTAGAAGATGGCTGCTGCGAGACAGCCAGAAAGTAATGAGGACGTCTTAAGACTTTTGAGGATTTCATCAACGTTGGCTATCTCCAAGAGGAAGCGTGTTTAATCCATCGTACGTCTGTAGCCATCGCCCATCTGATGTTCTCCTTGTTTCTCTACACCAGCGGTGTCAAACTCCCAGAATTTTCCAGCTAGGATTGTTTCTCAACCTTGACTCTTTAAGATGGGTGGACTTCAACTCCCAAATTCCCCAGCCAGGATTGTTTCTCAACCTTTGTCCTTTAAGATGGGTGGACTTCAACTCCCAGCATTCTCTGGCCAGGATTGTTTCTCAATATGGCTCCTTTAAGATAGATGGACTTCAATTCCCAGAATTCCCCAGCTTGAAGATGGGGCAGCTTGAAGATGGGGTGGACTTTGACATGCCTTAAAGTTGGCGAGCTTGAGAAATCCTTGTTTAAGGTCGAATCCAGGGGTGTCAAACTCAGTTTCATTGTGGGCCACATCAGGGCTGTGGTTGACCTCGGGGGGCCAGGTGGGCCTGGCCGATTGGGTGGGGCAGTCAGATTCCCTTAACAGCCAAGTTACTAATTTAACAACTGCAGTGAGTCAGTTAGGTGGAATTATTAATGTGGGAAAAAAGAAAAGAGAAAGAGAGAGAGGGAGAGGGAGGGAGGGAAGGAGAACTAAAGTTTGTTCTTTCGAAGAGGACATGGCTGGCTGATTGAATGACTGAACCTGAGAAAGGAAGACTAGGGGGGAACATGGTTCCAGTATTTGAGGTGCTGCCACAGAAAAGAGGGGATTATCCTATTTTCCAAAGCAGCTGAAGGCAGGACAAGAAGCAATGGATGGAAACTAATCAAGGAGACAGCAACCGAGAACTAAGAAGAAATTTCCTGACAATGAGAACAATTAATCAGTCGAACGATTTCCCTCCAGAAGTTGTGGCTGCTCCAACATCTTTTTAAGAAGAGATTGGACAACCATTTGTCTGAAATGGTATTGGGTTTCCTGCCTGAGCAGGGGGTTGGACTAGAAGACCTCCAAGGTCCCTTCCGACTCTGTTATTCTGTCGACCGTTCCTCCCTTGAGATCGAACTGCCATATTCTGACATCTTAATCTTGATTGCGACTGAACTTTTCCCCACATTCGGTTTGCATGCTCCAGAGAGTTTAACTTCTGCATTTTTTAGTGGGCTGGCTAATGATCGGTGCTTGCAATTCGAAAACTTCCCGGAAAGCAACCTGTCCTCTCCCTGGGCTTGTCCCCAAAACTGGAACTCATCCAGTGTGGGAGATGCATCATTAAAATGCAGGCTGCACCTTGCTGGTTCTCATACGCTTGGAATGCATGCGTGCCTTTAAGAGCAGGTTGGCAACAGGCAGAAATTATGGAGGTGCAGCGGGCTTTTTTTTCTTTCTTTCCTCAGCCTGGAAAAAGGGAGGAAACTATTTTCTCTGCATCAGGAAATTGGGTCGTTTGTTCTTAAAGGCGCAGCTGAGCACCAGCACAAAACAGAAACCTTGGCAGCCGAATAACGAGTTGGAAGGGACCTTAGAGGTCTTCTAGTCCAACCCGTTACTCAAGCGGGAAGCTCTGCACCATTTCAGACAAATGGTTGCCCAATGTCTTCTTAAAAACCTCCAATGTTGGAGCCCCCACAACTTCTGGAGGGAGGTTGTTCCATGGTTTAATTGTTCTCACTGACAGGAAATTTCTCCTTGATTCTAGGTTGCTTCTCTTTCTTGATTCGTTTCCATCCGTTGCTTCTTGTCCTGCCTTCAGAGGCTTTGGGGAATAGGTTGATCCCCTCTTCTCTATGACTGCCCCCTCAAATATTGCGCTGCTATCATGATATCTGTCAACTTGCAAAGCTTTCAAGTTGCCATGAGCAGGAGGGAGGGAGAACTGAAGTGAATTCCATACATTCTTTCTGACCGCAATCAGAAGGAGGGTGTTAGGTTTCACAGCCAGCCAAAGTGGTTAATTGGAGAATGTGATTTATGACATGGCCAGAGAGGATTGGAGAGACAGGGTCATAGGGGAACGTAAATCTACGTAGGATCAGTCCTGACTGCATCCGAGTATTGCCGGAATGTTGCTCCTAATAAATGACTATATTTCCTTTGAAGTTTGGATCATAGCTCATGAATTAATTAGGGCATCTTTCGGAAACTTGACAATATCACTGCAATCAGCCCTCTGAAGTCCAGTGGTGGAATTCAATTTTTTTTTACTACCAGTTCTGTGGACGTGGCTTGGTGGGTGTGGCGTGGCTTGGTGGGGGTGGCTTGGTAGGCATGGCAGGGGAAGGATATTGCAAAATCCCCATTCCCTCCCCACTCCAGGGGGAAGGATATTGCAAAATCTCCATTCCCACCCCACTCTGGAACCAGCCAGAGGTGGTATTTGCCGGTTCTCCGAACTACTCAAAATTTCCGCTAGCGGTTCTCCAGAACCTGTCAGAACCTGCTGAATAGCACCCCTGCTGAAGTCAGCCATATCCTGAATGTTACCTTTTTTTGTTTTTTGTTGTTTTTTTTTTGTAAAAAAGTTTTTTTTTTTTAAGACAAACAAACATTTAGTACATCATTCATTTCTTCCATGTGACATCTCGGTGTTAACTCCAAAAACTTCTTCTTTTCTATTATCTCTTCTATCTTCGTTCTCGCCAAGTCCATTACAAAAATTTTCCATGAATATAATGTTCTAGTTGTAACATTTTTTATCTATCTCTATTAAAGCTTATTTATATCTTATACTTACACTCTGAAGAATACGGTAGATCTATACCAGTCTCCTTTTATTTCTTTATCAGCAAATATAAATTTTATATATGCACACATATACATTGTGTTTACAGATAAGGAAAGCAGGGTCCCCACCCAATCTGACTCGACAAACTTGGATTGAATAAATATATTTTCTTTTATCTCAACTGATCAACTGGAATGTTTTATTGAATTCTCAGCTTGGGCACGAATTGCAGAAAAGGGTGGTGTTTGACCCTCCTGAAAACAGCAGAAATTTTACTCACCATTCAGCTCACAATCCCAAAGTCACAAGAGTCTTCCTAGGTATTTGCACAAGCACATTTTTCTCTCCGGCTCTGGGGGCTGTTGGCTTTGCAACTTCAAAATTCGACTATTCCTTCCTTGTGTTGCTGATTGCGATATTTGTACACACACACACACAAACTCGTTGCAAAATGTTCTTGTAACCACAAGGCATGGCATGTTTTTTTTTTTAACGACCTGAATTGGTGGTTTTGTGAGCCAATGCTTGTAATGTGCTAAAGCTCGGATTAAGGAATGATCGAGAAAGTCCCTAAAACTGTTAGGTTGCAGCTCAAACGTCAACTCATTGCTGACTGGAAAGGGAAAAAAAATTATGTCTCGTTCTGACTGTTTGTACTACTCTTTCTCTCGTTGTCCGGGTAGGGCCAGTAATGTTGCAAAAAGATAGTATAGGTCAGTGATGGCTAACTTTTTCTGGACCGAGTGCCCAAAGTACCCCCCAAATGCAATGCGTGCGTGCCCCCCATGCATGCACCCCACTTTTAAAAAAAAATTTGATTTATATGCCGCCCTTCTCTGGAGACTCAGGGCGGCTTACAATGCGCTAAGCAATAGCCTTCATACTTCTGTATATTTATACAAAGTCAGCTTATTGCCCCCACAAACTGGGTCCTCAATTTACCTACCTTAGAAAGGATGGAAGGCTGAGTCAACCTTGAGCCTGGCGAGATTCGAACCTGCAGTAATTGCAGGCAGCTGGTCTTAACAACAGGGTGCTTTAGACCACTGTACTACCAAGGTTCCCACTCCCCCATGCATGCACTTGCACCCCCTGCATGTGTCCCGCCCCATGCATCCGTGTGCCCATGCATGTGCCCCCCCGTGCATGCGTGCGCCCCCCGCACGTCTCTTGCCCTGCCGTCAGTGATGGGTTGCCCCTGGTTCGCACCGGTTCTATAGAACCAGTAGTAAAACTGGTGGGAGGCGCCGCCCACCGACCCTGATGTCATCAGAACGCTTCTGTGCACACGGCCCGGTTGCAAACCGGTAGTAGAGGTGAGTAGAACCCACCCCTGCCCCCCGTGCATGTGTGGCAGAGACCCAAAGACCAGCTGGTTGGCGGGAGGTGTGTGCAGAGCTGAACTGGAACGACGGCTCGCGTGCCATCAGAGAGGGCGCTGCGTGCCACCTCTGGCACGTGTGCCATAGGTTCGCCATCACGGATATAGGTAGTCCTTGACTTACGACCCAAATTCCTGTTGCTAAGTAAGACATCTGTTCAGTGAACTTTGCTCCATTTTACGAACCTCTCTTGCCACCGTTATTAACTGAATCGCCCCAATTGTTAAGGATTGTTAAGTGAGTCTGGCTTACCCATTGAGTTTGCTTGTCAGAAGGTCGCGAAATATGACCCTGGCCGTCATAAATATGAGTTTTGATCACGTGACCATGGGGATTGCTGCAATGGTCGTTAAGTGTGAAAAGCCACTTTTTTCAGGGCTGTTGTATAACTTCGATCGGTCACTAAATGAACTGTTGTAAGTGGAGGACCACCGATAGAAGGGTTAAAACAGGGAGGTGTTGGGAGTTGAATTTCTAGCAGTCGTAAATTAGAGTTGCAAAGGCTGCTGGGATTGTAGTTTAATAATCTCTCAAGGTCAGGTGCCTTGCCCCATAAAACATATGCCATCCGATACAGAAATGTTCATTAAAAAACCCAATAATTCTTCATAGACAGTCGTTTCATTCAAGTGAAAAAAACACATTTTATTTTGAGCAATGTTAGAATGTATAAAGGGCATCCATAGATTTTTTTTCTGTTGAGTTCCAAATTGGATAACATCACATCGACTTCCTAAAAAGGTACTTAATACAACATTTTATGATATTTTGATTATCTGCCATCATTTTTTGACTCCTAGATTTATTTATTTATCCGCTGTTTTGTAGGTTGCAAACGTTCTCAACTTTTAAAGCTGAGAGTGACTTAAGGTTTTCTTCATATAAACAGAAACAAAGTAAGCTAATATACAGTTTGGGGCGAAGTTGAGCTTCAAAAGGAATCAGCATCAGATCAAGCTTAATATCCAAGCGTAGAGCTGTTCAGCTTTACACACGCAGCTGCAGGATAACTTGTGTGTCTCTTCTCTGCAAATACCTGTAGAAAGATTTAGCGGGGAGAAAGCGAAATATTAATTTGGCAATATTATTCAGGACCAATTGGACAGCGATCTCGGTCCTTGAGCCAAACCAAAAAAAATAACAATGCTATTTTATTATTGATAAAAGTTTTTGCAACTAAAATGACTGCTGTAATTAATAAGAACGTGAAATATAACGATAACTTTAAAAGAATGATCTCTTTCGAGAAAGGGAAGTCGATGGCTTAGCTCAGCTGGAGATCTCCAAAACTATATCCTATTATCTCAAAGAGCGACCGGTCCAGAACCATCTAATGAACTTCCAAAGCTGTGGGAAGAACCTGCATCTGTCTGACTGCAATTTGGCAGTTCGAATCTCACCAGGCTCAAGATTGACTCAGCCGAGGTCGGTAAAATGAGGACCCAGATTGTTGGGGGCAATATTCCTACTCTGTAAACTGCTTAGAGAGGGCTGTAAAGCACTGTAAAGTGGTATATACGTCTAAGTGCTATTGCTCTTCCTTCCTTCCTTCCTTCCTTCCTTCCTTCCTTCCTTCCTTCCTTCCTTCCTTCCTTCCCTCCCTCCCTCCCTCCCTCCCTCCCTCCCTCCCTTCTATGGTGTACAGTGGTTAGAATGCAGCATTGCAGGCTAACTCTGCCCACTGCCAGCAGCTCAATCCTGACCGTCTCAACGTTGACTCAGCCTTCCATCCTTCCGAGGTCGGTCAAATGAAGAGCCAAATTGTTGGGGGCAATAGGCTGTCTCTGTAAACCGCTTAGAGAGGGCTGTAAAGCACTGTGAAGCGGTATATAAGTCTAAGGGCTATTGCCAGTGATGGGATTCAGCCGGTTCGCACCACTTCGAGAGAACCGGTTGTTAATTTTCTGAACAGTTTGGCAAACTGGTTGTTGGAAGAAATAATTAGGCCAGAGAACCGGTTGTTAAATTACTTGAATCCCAGCACTGGCTATTGCTATCTTAAGCTCTACTCCACCCTTGAAGAAGATCCTGGAATTCTTAGAATGTTAACTTCTTCTGAAGGACATCAAGTTGATTTTTTTTTACCTCTCTCTTGGTTTGCAGGCTGCTCTTCAAACATTTGGGCAAAACTGAGCTGAATTGAGTTGAATTCTAACCCTTCCAAGGTCCCCCCCACACACACCTACCTCTCACAAAGGAAGGAACGGCTTCCAAATTCAGCATTCAGGAGAGAATGGCGACAGCACGCCTATGGGGGAAAAAAAAGAAGAAATTGCAATTCCCATTTCAGGTGTCCCTATCCTAACCCCTTTGTTTCAAGTTGCCCAAGTCATTTTAGCCTCAGAAAAAGCTGAGGATGACTATTGTTCTAAATGAAAGGAAAAGAACAACGAACAGATTCACATTTATCCTCTTGCTGTTTCCTGGGAAGCATTATTTGGGAACTCTGATTTTCCCCATGTTAACTTGCAAAAGAAACAAAGGAGGGAGGGAGGAGAGGAAAGAAAAAAAGAAGAGGGAAGCAGGGAAAGCAAAAAGAGAAGAAAGAAAGTAAAGAAGGAAGGAAGGATCAGGGAAGGAAGGAAGGAAGGGAGGGATGAAGGACGGGAGGAGAGAGAGGAAAGGAAAGGAGGGAGGGAGGGAGGGAGAAAGAGGAAGGGAGGATCAAGGAAGGAAGGGATGAAGGTAAGAAGGGAGGGAGGGAGGGAGGGAGGGACGAGAGAGAGAAAGAATGGGAGGGAGAAAGAGGAAGGAAGGGAGGGAGGGAGGAATGAAGGAAGGGAGGAGAGAGAGGGAAAGAAAGGAGGGAAGGAGAAAGAGGAAGGAAGGAAGGGAGAGAGGGATGAAGGAAGGGAGGAGAGAGAGGGAAAGAAAGGAGGGAGGGAGGGAGAAAGAGGAAGGAAGGATCAAGGAAGGAAGGGATGAAGGTAAGAAGGAAGGGAGGGAGGGACGAGAGAGAGAAAGAATGGGACGGAGAAAGAGGAAGGAAGGAAGGAAGGAAGGAAGGAAGGAAGGAAGGAAGGAAGGAAGGAAGGAAGGAAAGACTACAAGCATATTGAATGGTATCATGCTTCACCATTAAACCATTCATCCTTCCAAGCAGCCTCCATGTTTCCAGCATCTTTCTCCCCATTTGGAACTGAACCCAGACGGACATTTCTTCCAACAAATCCTTCGCTCACTTCTCTCTGGATCCCCAAGTTCCTGCCCCACATCTCATCTCACCACATCCCACAACCCACCCCAGGCAGTGGATCTACTTACCGAAGAGCAGTGGCAGGAGGGAGAGACTGCTGGCCCAGGTGAGGGATCCAAGCAAAGCCCCAGCCATGATTCCTGCACTATATTTCAGAGAAGCTGATCCTGAAACGACAAATCCGTGTTAGGTAGGTTTTGCAGGCCTATCTGCATCTTGTCTACCTCTGCCATGGAACAAGGATTCAGGTAAATGTCAATGGCGCGTCTCAGTCATCCAGGTCGCCGTTGTCCCAACGGAGCTTTTTTTTTTTTCTTCAAGAGGCAACTGGACTTTCAGGTTTTTCTTTGAAGACGTTTTGCTTCCCGTCCCAAGAAGCTTCTTCAGCTCTGAGTGGATGGTGGGGAATGGAAGGATTTATACTCCTTGCAGACCAGCTGGTCATTTGCATCAGGGGTGGGTTCTAAATTTTTTTACTACCGGTTCTGTGGGCGTGGCTTATTTTGTGCACGTGGCTTGATGGTCGTGTGACAATTATTTAGGATTTAACAGAGGTACTGGTCTACTAGGCTTTTAACTGCTTGCAGAGCTGTACCGAACTCATGTATTTTTGCAGGCACTGGTCTACTCTTGTATTTTTGCAGGTACTGGTCTACTCATGTATTTTTGCAGGCACTGGTCTACTCTTGTATTTTTGCAGGCACTGGTCTACTCATGTATTTTTGCAGGCACTGGTCTACTCATGTATTTTTGCAGGCACTGGTCTACTCATGTATTTTTGCAGGCACTGGTCTACTCTTGTATTTTTGCAGGTACTGGTCTACTCATGTATTTTTGCAGGCACTGGTCTACTCTTGTATTTTTGCAGGCACTGGTCTACTCTTGTATTTTTGCAAGCACTGGTCTACTCATGTATTTTTGCAGGCACTGATCTACTCATGTATTTTTGCAGGCACTGATCTACTCATGTATTTTTGAAGGCACTGGTCTACTCTTGTATTTTTGCAGGCACTGGTCTACTCTTGTATTTTTGCAGGCACTGGTCTACTCATGTATTTTTGCAGGCACTGGTCTACTCATGTATTTTTGCAGGCACCAGTCTACTCATTTGTTTTCTTTTAACACTGATCAGCTGTAGGGTGGCCCTTTGAAGCCCCGCGGCAAGAGTTTAAACAGTTTTTTTTCCCTCTAGCCATCAGCTGGGACTCAGGAGGCAGCAATAGATTGGGGGTGGGGCCAAATAAAAGGTAAGAATAACGCGGGGGTGAGGGGTGGGGCAGAACTGGTTCGGTGACATCATATTTTCAGTGCTACCGGCTCGACGGAACTGGGAGGAACTGGAGGAACCCACCACTGATTTGCATCCTTTTAGAGGGTCGTTGAGGCCACTTGCCCCCCTCTCAACAGAGGGGGAGGGAATACAATCTCATCTATCTCCAGTCTACAACATAATCTTTTTCAACGGGTCCAAGAAGGCTCCGCACCCTTTTGCACCACTCAGGTGACCCCGAGGACATCCAGATAAACCTCCAAATGGCCTCAACAACTTTCTAATAAGGATGCAAATGACCAGCTGACCGTCTGCAAGGAATATAAATCCTTCCATTCCCCACCATCCGCTCGGAGCTAAAGAAGCTTCTCGGGATGAGAAGCGAAACGTCTGCAAAGAAAAACCAGAAAGTCCAGTTGCCTCTTGAAAAACACACACACACACACACACACCTTTGGGACAAAAATCCAGGCCGTCCTCGTCTTACGACCGCAACTGAGCCCAAAATTTTTGTTGCTAAGTGAAACATTTGTAAAGTGGCTTTTGTCGCATTTCACAAACTTTTCTCGCCACGGTTGTTAAGCGAACCCTTGCATTTGTTAAATTAGTAACCCGGTCGTTAAGTGAGCCCAGCTTCCCCGTCGACTTTGCTGGTCAGAAGGCGGTTAAAACGGGATTGGGCCGCCGTTTTGTCGGAAATGGTATAAGGTCTCCTGATAGAGCAAGGGGTTGGACTAGAAGACCTCCAGGGGCCCTTCCACTCTGTTGTTCTGTCATTCTGTTACTGGGAGAGGATCCCACTGGCATTCTTAGACAATAAATACAAGGGGTAGATGCGGCCTGTTTTTTTTTTTTGTCTGGAAGTAAATCCACACGTCCAGAAAAATAACAAAATTAGTGGGGTGGGTGGAGAACATGCTCCCCCCATTTACCAGCTGTTGGGTCACAACTATTTTGTGATAGAGACACCTTCCCCCTCGGCAGCCATTCTGGGAACGTTTCCACCCACTAACAAGCTCTCAGAAATGTGTCCTGCGGCTCAGAACTGTCGCTTATTCTGTAAACGTTGTCCCTTTTTTAAAAAAAAAATAAAATTGATTTATATGCCGCCCTTCTCCGGAGACTCAGGGCGGCTTACAATGTGCTCAGCAATAGCCTTCATCCTTTTGTATATTTATACAAAGTCAGCTTATTGCCCCCCACAAACTGGGTCCTCAATTTACCTACCTTAGAAAGGATGGAAGGCTGAGTCAACCTTGAGCCTTGGCGAGATTCGAACCTGCAGTAATTGCAGGCAGCTGGTCTTAATAACCAGCTTAATAACAGGGTGCCTTAGACCACTGTACTACCAAGGCTACCTTCCCCCCCCCCAATGCAGAGAAATGCAAATTTAACTATGATTAATTAGCTTTGGAGAGGCATTTTTTCATGGCTGCAACCCTCCGGACGTGCCACCTTATGCTCTATTGAACTCAGTGACAGTTATTTTTCTGCCGATGTGACTATAAGTATCAGGAAGCATTTTTTTTTTTTTTAGTGTATTTAAATTTAGATAGAAGGCCTGCAGTGCTTTTTCCTGCTTTCTTTGTGGTTCTCCCTGCTCCATCTGATGATTTTCTTGAACTATTTGAGAGTTTAGGGTACATGGAACTGCTGAATAGATTTAGAAGCCAGCAATTGTACGATATATAACTTGAGTTTGTCAGGTCACTTCAAGGTAGGAGCATAGCACCAATATTTATATTTATAGCTCTGGGTTGAAATATAAAGCCCTCTGAACTCTCTCAGGTTGGTTGCTTTCTTGCAGATGTTCCATGACCCAACTAGGGAACATCATCAGTGCTAGAAGGAAGGAGGAAGAGGAGGAGGAAGAGGAAGGAGGAGGAGGAAGAAGAAGAGGGGAGGGAGGAGGAGGGGGGAGAAGGAGGAGGAAGGGGAAGAGGAAGGGGAAGAGAAAGAGGAGGAGGACTGTGTGTTTCTTCCTACTCTCTGAGCTTGGTTATTTCCTTGCAGACGTCCCATTACCCAATTAGGTAACATCATCAGTGCTAGAAGGGAGCGGGGTTTGTAAGGAGGAGGAGGAAGAAGAAGAGGAGGAGGAGGAGTGGGGAGAAGGAGGAGGAAGGGGAAGAGGAAGGGGAAGAGAAAGAGGAGGAGGACTGTGTGTTTCTTCCTACTCTCTGAGCTTGGTTATTTCCTTGCAGACGTCCCATTACCCAATTAGGTAACATCATCAGTGCTAGAAGGGAGTGGGGTTTGTAAGGAGGAGGAGGAAGAAGAAGAGGGGAGGAGGAAGACTGTGGGTCCTTGGTGCTCTCTGAGCTTGGTTGCAGATGTTTCATTACCAAACTAGGGAACATCATCAGTGCTAGAAGGGAGTCGGGAGGAGGAAGAGGAGGAGGAAGAGGAGGAGGAAGGAAGAGGAAGAGAGGAGGAGGAGGAGGACTGTGGGGTCCTTGGTGCTCTTTGAGCTTGGTTGCTCTCTTGCAGATGTTCCATGACCCAACTAGGGAACATCATCAGTGCTAGAAGGGAGTGGGAAGGAGGAAGAGGAGGAAGAAGAGGGGAGGAGGAGGGCTCTAATTTTCATCTCAGTTCAGTGACCAGAAAAAAAAAAAAAACCCAATACATACCACTCCTTGTGACTATTAACTGCGTCTGGCTTCGATAGCACATGATTTGTTCTCTGGTTCCCTTCCCTTCTCTGCCGGAGTTTTGGTCTGAAGACACTTCGACATAAATAGAGTAGTTTCCAGAATCGGCCTCGGTTAACTGGTTCAGGTGCAAGGAACAACCGTATTGTTTGATCTTCTGTTGCTGGTTCTGTTCTTTGTTTGGAGGCTCTTCTCCAGAATCGTGGATTTCTTTCTGCACTCCAGATTTGGTTTTTTGTTTCCAGAAGCAGAGGTCATTCTTGGCTGGCATGCCTCCGGGTGTCATCTTGACATTCTGGCCAACAAGGGGATTTGGGGGTTCGACTCTGATACGGATTTGTTTTTCATCTGCAAATCAAGTAGATTAAAAGAACATCCCATTATTTTATTTATTTATTTATTTATTTATTTATTTATTTATTTATTTATTTATTTACTTACTTACTTACTTACTTACTTACTTACTTACTTACTTACTTACTAGCTGGATCCCCGTGCTTCACTATGTAATCGGGCTTCATAAATCGATACTTACAGCTTGAATCCTCCCCTATCCTATCCCACTTCTCTCCTTCAGCCTTGCCCCACAGAAACGTCTCCTGTCCTATTCCCTTCTCTCCCTCAGACTTTCTAGCCCCTTCTCCCCACGAGACTTGCCCCACAGAAGCCTCTCCTATCCTACCCCCATCTCTTCCTCAGCCTTGCCCCACAGAAACGTCTCCTGTCCTATTCCCTTCTCTCCCTCAGACTTTCTAGCCCCTTCTCCCCACGAGACTTGCCCCACAGAAGCCTCTCCTATCCTACCCCCGTCTCTCCCTCAGACTTTCTAGCCCCTTCTCCCCACGAGACTTGCCCCACAGAAGCCTCTCCTATGCTATCCTGTTCTCTCCAGAGTTATTTTCAAGTTAGGAGAGGGAGTAGAACATCTAACTAATTCGCATCAGAGCGTGTTAATCATAATATAGGAAATACTAATGATCTGATGGTCATTTCGAAAAATCCTTTCTTAGCGAGCACCTAGAAGCCAAGAGGAACATACGTGGCAAATTTCAAGTTTGTAGGCTTTACGGTTCTGAAGATTTCGTGATTAATGCGTGAGTGGTTTTCGCTTTTATATATATAGATTTCTCTATTTATTAATTTGTCAAGCACGGTATAAGATAACAGATATAACCCTTTATAAGAGCCCTGGTGGGGCAGTGGTCGGAATGCAGTATTGCAGGCTAATTCTGCCGACTGCTAGCAGTTCGATCCTAACCTAAGCTCAAGGTTGACTCAGCCTTCCATCCTTCCGAGGTCGGTAAAATGAGGACCCAGATTGTTGGGGGCAGTTATGCTGATTCTGTAAACTGCTTAGAGAGAGCTGTAAAGCACTGTGAAGCGGTATATAAGTCTAAGTGCTATTGCCCTTCCTTCCTTCCTTCCTCCCTTCCATGGTGCGCAGTGGTTAGAATGCAGTACTGCAGATTAACTCTGCTGATTGCCAGCAGTTCGATCCTAACCTAAGCTCAAGGTTGACTCAGCCTTCCATCCTTCCGAGGTGGATAAAATGAGGACCCAGATTGTTGGAGACCATATACTGACTCTGTAAACCGCTTAGAGGGGGCTGTGAAGCATTGCGAAGTGGTATATAAATCTAAGTGCTATTGCTTAATCCTCTTTGTAGTTTGCAACACTGGGGTTCCTGCAATTTCTTTGGCGGAAGATACAACAATTGCGTGGTGCACACTCTCAAAACAGCCCAAGGACTAAACTGTGCACCCAGCGGATGTTGTCTTCCCCACTTCCTATCCTATGATTGCCATTGCAGGCAGTCCTCGACTTACGACCACAACTGAGCCCCAAAATTTCTGTGGCTAACTGAGACATGCGTTCAGCGAGTTTTGCTCCCTTTTACAACCTTTCTTGCCACAGTTGTTAAATGAATCACTGCTTGATGTTAAGTTGGTAACACGGTTGTTAAGTGAACCTAGCGTCCCCCATTTTGTCACAAAAGGGGATCACATGACCCCGGGATACTGTGACCATCATAAACACGAACCGTTGTCGAGCATCTGAATTTGGATCATGTGGCCATGGAGATGCTGCAATGGTCGTAAGTCTGAAAAACGCTCAAAAGTCACTCACTTTTTTCAGTGCCGTTGTAACTTTGGACGGTCATTAAACGAACCGTTGTACGTTGAGGACTACCCATAGCTAAATTTCTGCCTGTTAAATAACACACTGAGCGGGCGCTTGCAAACATGCTTAACCGGGGCGGTTAAACATCTAGCAACAATATCTACTGTACATCTCAGTTATTATTTCGTGTGATGCGGTGGCCTAGAGGTGAAGCTCTCACCTCACAATCAGGAGGCTGTGAGTTCGATCCTAGGTAGAGGCAGACATTTCTCTCTCTGGGTACAATGAGATTATATCTGCTGAATAAGACTCCGTATTGGCAACAGGAAGGGCATCCGGCCAGCAAACTCTCAGCTCCATTTCTGTTATTTATTTGGGGAATTCTGAAGTTCAGACATCTTAAAGGTTGGGAGGTTTGAAAAACACTGGCTTTAGATGGTCGGAAACTGGTTTTAATCTCTCATAACTGTGTTTGTGTCCGTAACTCCTGATTCCCACATCATGACAATTAAAGCTTATCATTCATGGCTTTTGAAAGAGTGGCGTGGTGGCCTAGAGGTGGAACTCTCGGCTCACAATCAGGAGGCTGGGAGTTCGATCCTAGGTAGAGGCAGATATTTCTCTCTCTGGGCACAATGTGTATATATCTGCTGAACAAAACTCCATATTGGCAACAAGAAGGGCATCTGGCCAATTAACACTCAGCTCCATTCAGTTGCCCAGTCTCCACCCCACAAGGGATTACGGGATCGTTAAAAGAGGATGATCTGAGTTGTTCTTTCATAGCTTTGCTTAATTCTCTTAGAATAGATTTTGCAAACCTCCGAACGTTTAGACTGCAGATCAGGCATTGCCGGGGTGAATACAGTCTGCTAGATGACTTTTGAAAACTTACCACAAAAAGTCAGAAAAATGGAACCGATATAGATCTCTGGTCCTGTTGGCTCTTGCTGCTTTGCAGGAGGAAGAGTGACTTTGACCGTGTACCTTCCTCGATCCGTTGACCTCAGATTTTTGATAGTCAAGGAACAATTCTGATGCAGCACGACGACTTTGGAAGCATCAGCCGGGGTGAATTTTGCATCGGAGACCAAAACAATGTTTTCCCCAGACGGCTGCGTCCACTCGCATCGCACAAATCCCTGCCGGATATTCTTGGCATGCAGGAGGATACTTTGACCCTCGATGGGGTTTTCAGGAACAGAAACCACAGTTAAATTTTCCTGAGCTGACACCAGCTGCAACAAGCAGCTTAGGATGCAACCTGCAAAGAAGTAAGGGGGAAAGGAAGGGAAACCACAAAGTTATTTCAATCTTGTAGCCTCTTCTCTGCAGCTCCTTGCTAAGCACACCATGCCCCACCCTGAAGTTCTCCATCAAAGGAGGGAGGAGGTCTGAGAAGGGGACTCCATATATGGATGCTCTCTTGTGTTCAGTCCAGCCCATTCTCCTGGACTTCCCCTTTCTAGTCCCATCTTGGCGGTTTGACATATTTTTTGACATATGATTGCATGTCACTGCTTGAGTCAAGAGAACAAGGGATAGACTCTCAAGTTGGGTGGAGAAATGAAAGACCCAAGCCAACAGCCAAGTTATTTGGGGTCATAAACCAGCCACTCCACAAACCCACCAACCAACCAATCAATCAACCAACCAACAAAATCTAGTATTTTGGTGGTAAAGGCACCAGGCTGTAAACCTGACTAGGTGGCTCAGTGGCTAAGACAATGAGCTTGTCGATCAGAAAGGTTGGCAGTTCGGCGGTTCAAATCCCTATTATACTGCTGGATTCTGGGAGTTGAAGCCCACCCATCTTCAGGCTACCAAGGTTGAGAAACACTGATCTAGTAGTTGATGGTATGTGAGGAAGACTATGTTGGCTTTCCAGGTTAGGTGATCCTAGTTAGCTTATTTTGATTGGATTGAGGATTTGAAAAACTGGCCAGGGGGGGATCTCGTGAGTAGGGAAAGGCAACGAAGTCTACTCTATTTTTTTTTCTCTTGGTAAAAAGAGAGCCAGTTTGTGTTGCTGGTAAAGGCATCACGATAGAAACTGGGAGATCTAGTGTGTGTCCCCCACCCCTTTAGGCATAAAGTCAGTGGGTGACCTTGGGCCAGTCAGGTTCTCTCAGCCCTAGAAAGGAGGCAATGGCAAAATATTTCCTGAAAAATCTTTACGAAGAAAAGATAGTCGCTGGAACTCAACACTGACTTGAAAGGAGAGAGAGAGAGAGAGAGAGAGAGAGAGAGAGAGAGAGAGAGAGAG